TATCTCTATGGTCGTCATTTCACGGTCCGGACGGACCATGCGGCGCTCCAGTATTCATTACGGGTTGCCCAGCCCTCGGGCCAATTGTCGCGGTGGTTGGAAGTCCTCCAGGACTATCAGTTCACGACTACGTACCGTAAAGGGTTGCGACACACGAATGCCGATGCCCTGTCGCGGTTGTTGCCTTGTCACAAATGTGCGTGCTTATCGGGATCGGCGCGCTGTAAACCTCCGGTTACGGAAGGTAGGGAGGCGTTGGTTGCGACCGCGAGCACACCAATTGGGGATGGTCCCGCTACCCCAGGGGGTCAGGACTCGCTGCTCTCACTGTCGTTGATTGAGTGGGGCCGTCTCCAAATGGCGGACAGCTCCCTGCTGGCGTTGCGCCGAAAGACGGAGGGTTCCGAAGGTAGCCACGACCGAACTGGCTCCTACGAGCTTAAGCAGGGCCTGTTGATGAGATGGGACAGTTTGTCCCGGCGGCATGCGATTGTGGTGCCTTCTGCTGTGAGGGGGAAGGTTGTCTTGGCCGCACACGAACGCCTCTTGCATTTGGGAGTTAACAAAACGCTTGCCCTGCTTCAGCGTGACTATTTTTTGGCCGGGAATGGGGGGTGACGTGGTGAATATTCTGAAGGGTTGTGTTGAGTGCGCCAGACGGAAACCACCGCCCGTGGCAGCTAATCCACCGCTGCAATCTATTCAGGTCTCGCGCACTAACGAGCTCGTTGCACTCGATATTCTGGGGCCCTTTCCGGTCACGCCTAGGGGTAATAGGTACCTGTTGGTGGGGGTCGAATATTTTACCCGGTGGCCTATGGCGTGGCCACTCGCCAACCAGTCGGCGGCGGCTGTGACGGATGCCTTTGTCCAGGGCTACGTCCTGGACAAGGGGGCTCCCGAACGCTTGCTGACTGACCAAGGGAAAAATTTTTCGAGTAAATTACTGCAGGAGGTGTGCGACCTGTTGGGTACCAAAAAGGTGCGTACCTCCCCGTACCACCCGCAGACGGACGGGATGGTGGAGAGGCTTAACAGGACATTGACCTCTATGCTGTGCCAGCAGGTGTGTGAGTCGCATGTTGATTGGGACCTGCAGGTCCCTGGGGTCCTTGCCGCGTATAGAATGGCCCCCCATGCAGCTACGGGGTTTTCCCCGTTTTTTCTAATGTACGGTTGGGAAGCCGACCCGCCCATGGAAACGCAGCTGGGTCTGCCCGCACCACGAACTAATTCTAAATTGGCAGAGCATATCAAATTTAATATTCATAAACTGACAGAGGCAAGGGAGGCCGCACGGCTTAATTCGCGGGCTCGCCAAATTGCGAACGAGCGGTTGCGGGCACGGAAGGTGTCCGTGCACAATTGGGAACCAGGTGACAAGGCCTGGCTGCATTGCCCTCAGGCACCTTTGGCCACGTCGCCTAAATTGTTGAAGCCGTGGCGGGGACCCGTGGAGGTCGTGCGGGTGGCACGCCCCCAGTGCGTTCAGATAAAATGGGGGAAACGCCGTTGGTACGTCCACCCCTCCCGACTGAAACCGTTCTCGCCTCCGTATGGCCTCCCCTTGTGTCGTGAGGGCCGAGCATGTGACGTGACCGACGACCCTGAGGGGGAATTGTCCTTGCCTGCTCCTCACATGTCTCTGCCTGATCCGCTCCCAGGTGTCTCGGAACTGACTGCTGCCGACCACCGGCGGCCGGATCTTCACGGCGGGGCCGGTCCTTCCAGGCCCGACCCGTGCCGTCTAGAGCTGCCGGAGACACCGGACGGTCGCCAACGTCCCGTTCCATACGACGGACCGGCCAGACGGACTCGCGCTAGGTCGCGCTACTTTGTGTAACCTACCACGTGCGGAGTCGAGGCAGCCGGAGCGCCTCGGCACTGCGTGGGTCACAGTGACACTTGGCGCGTTCGTTTTACGGTGTTCGCTTTTATTGTGTTGTTCGTCGGGCTGTATATTGCTTCATATTTAAGGTTGTGTTATGTTGTTGTTGTTGTTGTGTTACGGGGCACACTGGGATGTGGAGTTCTTTATTACTGCGTTGCGTTATGTTGTGTTGTAGGTTAACAGCCGGGCCGGCTGCAAGCTATGTGGGAGGGGGTGATGTAGAGGTGATACGCGCTGGGATTAAGGATCGTATGCACAGTGCGTGATGATTGGCTGTGTAGGTGGTGACGCGCGCTGACGGTGGAGGATCAGGGGTCAGCGCGGGGTCGTGGGTTACGGGGTACCGATTGGCTGGGGGCGGTGACGCGCTGAGAGAGAGTGCGTCGTGATTGGGTCATTAAGGAACGACGCTCACGTCGACGCCGCATCAGCTCCGTCCCTCGTGAGCAGGGGCTATAAAAGGGGATGCACACAGGCGTAAGGGCAGTGTGTAACCAGCGAAGAAGGAAGACGGGGATGAAGACCTAGAGCCCTGCGGTACCTAGCCCCGCTGTCCTAAGGGGACCGGGACTCTGTGTAACCCAGAGGCGAGTGTAGTGGGTGTAGCCATAGGGCTACACGAGCCGAATGTACTATGTGTAGCCAGGGCATAGGGCTTACACGAGTCGAGTGTATTGTGTAGCCAGAGGCATAGGGCTTACACGAGTCGAGTGTATTGTGTAGCCAGAGGCATAGGGCTTACACGAGTCGAGTATATTGGGTGTAGCCAGAGGCCTAGAGCTTACACGAGATTAGTGGAGTGTGTCGGAGGAAGAAGAGAGACCACACGTTGTATTGTGATACCTAAAGGATTTAATAAAAGTGTGTTACCCGTCAAGAAGTTCCTGCCGTCAATTCCCATACTTCACATTGAACTTAAAATGTAGGTTTTCAGTTGATCCCGAGTTTAGAGTGCCTGAAGATCAAAGCAGTTTGAGCAAAACGTCGTATTTTGATGTTAAATTCAGTCCTGATGTCTTGAGCTTGTGGGAGAGCTTTATTGGTCAGAATTTGATCAACACATTGGCACGTATAAATAATGTTTGTAAAAGTGACTATCTTGTCAGGTGGTGTAGGGTTAATGACAATAATGTTGACTTAACACTACCACGTGGCCTAACTTACAAAGAAAATATGGAAAATGTAAGTGACATTGTTTGTCTTTCGACCATAATCTCAGGCTTGAGTCACTGCTATGTTGAATGAAGACTGACCAACAGTGGTTTTTAATACACATTCGCTTTAATAATGCAATAAATTGCGTAATATAACAAAACGTGCATTTCTGCAATATGGATATGACAGTACAGCAGTTCCCTTCTGACCCGAGTGTAATTCGTGCCGGTAATATTCCTGTCTGCAATGTGCCTGTGCTTTACGATGACTCCTAGGCCATAGTCGTGATCATCTCACCTAACAGCTCACCGAACTGAAAGTATCTTAGCAGCACCAATCCGGTAAGAGAGAGGAATAATATTGATATGGCAACACTGTTTCAGATTGTAGAATGCTTAGCCATTTCTGTTACTGCACGGATCTCTTGCAGTTACAGTTATGTAAATGCCAAAGTTATTTTAAATTCCTATTCCCTCCCCATCTTAGACGATAAAATTTAGAACTCACAAAGTGCCTTCTAAACCAGCGTATTCAGTAGGGTTGCCGCAATATGGTAATATATTTCGTATGATGCAAGATAAAAAAAAATAATCGCATTTCCCAATATTAATACTGTTTAATTATATCGTGCTTGATGGTTATTGATATTTTTTCATAATACGTTTTAAAAAATATACCTTACCCATTAAATACATTCTTTGGAAGCCTATGATGAGTGCAGAGAAGATAAGTTTGTCAACATTAAAACAATAAACTAAGAAAGAGTACTATTTCCTAAGAGCTGCACTGCAAATGGCAAGATTTTTTTTTTCATCAAAGCACAAAACGTGACAACCTTCATTGGCTCCATCAATATGACATGGGATGCAACATTTCAATGTTTAATCCTAGCATTCTTTATCCAATACGTTAAAATGTGACGTAATATAAAATAAAAGAGGTATGATTTATAGAAAAACTCACAAGTACCTCTGATGCATTTACTGTATTATAATTTTGGTGTCATTCTGCAGATATAAACCATAATGAAAGTATAGTATACTTCCGAAGCAATTAATTCAGTATTCATATGAAGTGCTTTAATTTGAGGATTTCTTAACTTTGAGAACACAATCAGTGGTAAATCCAGTATATGTTGAATATAAAGTTTATAGTTTTAATAGAAAACAAATTCTATGGTTACAAAAAAATAGGTGAGGGAAAACGATCTTTTTTTTTAATACTTTCCAGAATTTATCCTGAAACCGCAAAAAAATCACTCTTGCCATAGAGCAGGTGTTTGTTTTTACCTATCATCAGGAGCATGACGTGAAACAGCTGCATTTGTGTTTGGAGATTGGTAAATGTGGAAACTGTACCATGGAGGTAACAATAACAGGGATAACAAGCCTTAAATAAAAGAAAAACTGAAGACAATAGTTTGTTATACAACTGGGCACTGAAAAATCAGATGTTGCAGTACATGTTACAGAATATATAGTATTAAAGAAGTCCCAGAAGTGTTGCATTTATTTTGTTATTTTGTTCACGTGAAAAAAATATTTCATATGATACTGTATTGCATTTACATTTGCCATCTGATAAAAAAATGTGTTGGCAGCATATTTTCACTTTTACAAATAAGTTCCAGAGGTTAACAGCTAAATGTATTTGTGAATGTGATGTCATCTATGTCTTATAACACATCCCTGCGGAGGGAGCTGGTAGGAACGTTGGGTTGCTCGGTCAATGGCCAGGGTCAACGGCGGCGTGGTGTATTCCGCAAATATGCCCGACTGTGAGGGTGGGCACAAGCCGGCGTGAGTAGGTTAAACGTTGAGTTTTATAAGGGCACCACGGGGTGACCAGCCCCTCCCCACCCAGCCCCACCCCTCCCACCTCCCACCCAGCCCCACCCTCCAACACCCAGCCCCTCCCCACCCAGCCACTCCCCACCATCCCCACCCAGCCCCTCCCGCACGACGGACGAACACAATAATCCGCTGTGGGTTGGTGTAACCAGGAGGTTCCTACCAGTAAAAAATATATAATTAAAAAAAGACGTGGCAACTGTACATTAATTTATCGTTATGGTAAACCAGTGCATAGCTTTTGGAATACACATAAGTAAATTATCAAATTGAAAACCATTCATCAACCTCATCTTCATTTAATTTGTGATGACCCCTTCTTCACGACGTTGGTCACACAATACCCTTATCCTTCAGGTCATCTTGGACACGCTTCAGGTAATCTGGGTCAGGATAGCCATAGCTAAAATAGATAAAGAAAAGAACGGAAAATATATCAATGGATTTTGCTTAATATCACTGGCAAATAATACTTTAACACTAAAATCAATTAATTTAAAAGAATACAACTCACTCCCAAATATGTTTTTATTTTAAAACACTGGGGAATGGTAGTTTGCCCACTAAACTCTGTAACTTAAGCATTTTGCTCCTCGGCACTATTAGGTTTTGGTTTTAATGACAATTCTACACTCGCATACATTTGCAAACATAGTCTGTATCCGACTAAACGACCTCAATTCTCATCCAAGATGTTATTCATTTTAAGATTAGCAAAATAAAATGTGCCCGCCTTACATGAAAGGTCCACCGTAAATGCTGGTCTTGTGTTCGATGCCATTCCAAGTGACCAAGTTGTCGATGCCAGTGCTACGTGATACACCTACAGTGAAGGTGAGCCTCTGTTTGAAGGCTTTTTGCAACAGGAGCAGCACGTGGTTTCCTTCCTGATTGTCTGGCAGGTATGCAGTCCGTGAGATGCCACCATAAGCCTTTCCTGGCTGCGGGTGCTCGGGCTAAAGGTGTGAATTAGAAGAACCTCATATCAACGGTAATTATAACATCATAGAATGTATAAACACACTTCAAAAAGGTAATTATTAAACCAAGATAATAATTAATCATGCATATCATGTAGTAGTACTTACCCCTTGTATTCCATTTGGAATTGTGTAACTAATTTCAATCATCCCACAGGTTTGATAGCCTGGAAGGTGGCCTGATGTTTTGTTGACAGTCATGGTTGCATGTATGGGTTGGTTGCCTAGAGTAGTTCCATATGGCTCGTTGCACATAGGGCAAGCAGGCCGAACCCTAACAGCCATATCTATGCAACTGCGGCAAAAGGCATGTCTGCATTTTGGCAATATATGCTTTTCTTTAAAATGTGTTAAACAGATGGGACACTCGTCTTCCCTCTCATTTTCACTGCTGGATTCCTGTTCCTCATTGGCTATTTGGGTTTTTTTCTTTTCTCTTCCGTCTTTACTGCTTGATACAGAATTTAAACTCCTCCGGCCATTGCCATCACCTCTACGCTGCGATCTTTTCAATGAATGACTTTGTCCCTGTTGGGAATGCACAATCTTTCGGAACTCTTCCACGGCCAATTTTGGAAGATTTCCTTTGCCGACAAAGCGGACACCCATGTCATTTTTAATTTGGTAAACATGAGGAAATGCTTGTTTAATGAATGCGTCAGCTTGAGTCAGCAAATGGTGTCCCTTAGGCAGATTAATGCTACTCCAAGAGATGTGTGCTGCCTGCAGCTTAAGTAGCGCTTTTTCATACAGTGCCATGAATACCTGGTTCGCCACTTTATCGAAGGGCTCCAGAGTAATGTTGCACAGTGAATGAACTATGCCATCACTAATTTTAAACGTGACACCGTACTTCTTATTCAGATTATCAAAAGCCTCATCCATCTTCTCAAACATGAATTCTACAATATCTCTATCTAAATGTTCAATCAAGTGGCTAGACAGACTGAAACCTGTTGCCATCCTGAAATGTAAAAACGATGCGATTCAGAAACAATAAGCCTTGTCTTCAAATTGTGTGCGCACCTTGATGCAATGGAATAACAAGCCTGTGAAATACAAATGATAGGTAATACAGTGAGTTAATCAATTATACAGTTTTCGCCATTAAATGTTAACTGGTAGCTACGTGTCTTTACCGAAAGAACCAAAGAGTATGGATTCCTGCAGTCACGAAAGCTTCAAATCAAGATTTTAAAGACACTTAACAGATGCCGGCATGGCTCAGCCTCTAAAAAGAATAACCCAGATATATTTTATTGGAAAATAACAAGAACGATTGAATTCTACTGCTTACAGAGATACATCTAAATAACAATTCAACATTAAATGTTGGAAAATATACATCTCTGCTTCATTCTAAATGACATTACCAATGATAAACTCTCATTTCCGGGTTAATACATCAGCATACTGCCCCATTTTCCACTTTTTTAAAACAAAGTCAAGGCAGCTCCCGACTCAGACAAGCATGGGGTGGCAACCGAGATATGGATTTGTAGTCCACATTCCTATCATGGTGTCAATCGATCCATCAGACACCTGCCTTTACCTCTCGTATGTCTGTCAAATTGGCTGCTTGTTAACTCAAACGCCCTCCATCCAGTTAAATCTTGAGCTTACGCTTTAACTTTATTTTATTGTAAGGAACACTTGAAATCAACGATAAGTTTTACTTTTGATTCCTTGCCTCTTTCCCAACACCCTTCCCGTCTAAAACCTTCTCTCATAATCTCTTCACCTCTGAGAATGTCCCAACCCTTGGAAACAGGGTCCCTAGCAAGGATACTAAACCACAGGCTCTATTACTATATTACTTGGAATCTAAGTTTACGCGACTACAATGGTAAAAAAAAAAACTTCCGGAAAATATGACAATTCATCGCATCGCCGAGTCAATGGTTAAATCCCTAATTATAACCACGATTATCGCAACGAATTAAATAGTAATTAGCGATTATAGTTGAAAATGTAATCCATGAAAACCACACTACTACAAACCTTTGAGACGTGAAGGCAGCAAGTGTCAGAAGCGCGGCGAACCCGGGGCAGAAGGGACGAAATGAAACTGACAGGGCCAGAATGTGGGGGTTTCTAAGCAATGACGTTACACGACTTCCTACTTCACTTTTTTGGTGGCTGCCCAGCCACGTAAACAAAACTTTAGTATTCATCATCATCAGCCATCAGCTGCTAATCTAAGTCATCATCACCTCCCCAATTTCCCCTGATGCCACTAGCTCATCTCATCGCTCCATCTCCGCAGTGGTCGTACTCCGTAGCGGCGTTCCCTCCTTTGGCTTCCACATTCCATCCTTCAGCTTCATCAGCCACTTGTTTTTATTACGCTACGGTATGTATACTGGAGGAATCAAAAGAGCTATGAAGCTCTTTTTTCGCAGATGTACAGTATCAGTCCACATGCTGGCAATTGTAGTTTTGTTAAACAGGATACGCGGTGTTCGTGTTAGCTCTTGCTGACAACGGAAGACGTGCATTTTGACAGCTAAGGTTTGCCGATGAGAGTTAAAAGCATGGCAACGGGGGTTATGAGCCAAATAATTAGCTTAAGCGACCACTTTTTTGCGACCACCTAGCTATCCATATTTTCAAGGACACATTTTGGCTATTTATAAACAGAAAACACTGCTAAGTGCTAAGACCAGGTTATGTTTGTGTTGCGGAATTGAAAATGCGAATGTTAACCTTTAAGACCTAGAAGCGATTAAACGTTCAGTTTAAATGCTGGTTTTAATTATAAAACTAAAACGTTTAAAGGTATTGTATTAATCACATAGCGACGTCTATATTACTGTGATTTCATCTTCAAGGCAGTAAACAGCAGGGATAAGGAAACACTATTCTCGTAGAAGACAAGAATTTTAATGATTAACTTTCGCGTGTGGCATACACCAGAGTACGTTAGTATTACAGGTAGGAACAACAGGTTCCAGACTGCCCACCAGGGATTATGTCTGTCTGTCGTGCATATGTGTATGTCGTGCACGAATGCGCTGTCCAACCAAGTTCCTACCTGCCCACTCCGAAGGAACGTGTTGAACAGGGTGGTTCACGTTGTATATGCAAAACAGTGCTGAAAATCCACAGTGAACACGAGTCACATCATCACAAGTCATGTTCAACCCACTGCTGGAAGAAGGCCTCCCAAAGCCGGTGGTCACCTCACAAATGTTCGATGTTAATATTCCATCCACAGAGCACATTGTTCCATCTCTTCATTTAACGTACGATCAGACACTTCGCTTTCCCGAGCGATTGAGATCATTTACTGTCAGAAATCGCACCTCCTGGTTTTGAAATTCCACGAAGACACTGGTGTAACAAACAATCTCACGAGAACACCAGCAGGCCCCATGTAGGGCATCTCCTTCATGAATAGAACATTAAAGACAAAGCCACAGTAATAATAATGCCACCGTGACCACACAACTCAAACTATGAACCGCATAGCAATCCCAGCGGAGGAGCAGCAAAACTTCACGAACTCCTGAAGTCCCCCTCGTTGCGGCTGACAGACCTCGGCATTGGCATTGATCTCCTGAACCATACTATCGTCATGCGCAAGAAAGGAATTGCACAACATACATTCACACGCAATAAACAGTCCGAGAAAACACAACCATGAAGTGCATGATGGCTTGCAACGTGTAAGTACTGCAGACTAGTTTAAGCATGACCGGTTCTTGCGGTTGCGTTCTGGAAATTCCCGTGAATCCCAGCATGGGATATTGGAGCTGTTTACAAACGCCCCAGGTCATCACAGAGGTAAACATCAGTTGTATTACTGAAACAGCATTATTTAGTGCCTGATTGCATGTGAGTCAACAAGCAGAACTGCGGTACTGTCGTGAAATGTGTGCGGCACATATACAGCACGTTTTGTCCATCCACTGCTGGATGAGGACCCCCCACCTCCACCACCGTGCCATGCGCCTCGTGGGGTTTGTTTTAACTTTTAACCATACTTCACCACGCTAGTGTGTAGGCGAGAAGCATAGAAGTACTGTACTGTGCAATAACTGATGTTTTGTATGCTGCTGTATAGCCGATAACAAACTGCCTTGCGTGGTGGTCCCGCATTTAAGCCCTAACCCAGGCTCAACTTCGCTTAGCTTTCATAGATCTGACGAGATGGGGGAGTGCATTGCGGACGATTTGGAAATATGCAGTAGTGTAGCAATAGGGATGCACAGTACACATATTATTATGAATTGTCAAAAAATGTGGGGTTGCGACTCAACATTCAACGATCTCTTTTTTTGTATTAATCATGATGTAGATTTTAACCTGCTCGTTTCACCTCATTGAGCATGAAGGTAATATTAGCGCATCGTTTTCACGTGCAATCGAATGTAGGTATAGGCAGAGCAGGCGAGAGGGGAATAGAGTGCCGAGGGCATCTGGGGTGCGATCGAGATTCAGGAACGTGTGGGTGTTGCCAACTCCATGACGTGGAAAAGTCACCAAAATAATCTCGACAAATCACCCAAACACATAAAAAAAACTAAACAATCCCCATCCTACCAGGCAAAGCCCACTGAGGTATGAACTTATTTTTCAGAAGCGACCTGGCCACAAATGATAGCTCAACAAAGTGGCCCATCATTTGGACATGTCTCGCACCAAAATAGTCTCAATGCAATTGCGATTTGTTTGGTAAAGTATGGTGTTTAGATTAAATTATGAAATAGCGTGTAACACAATGCTACGTTGTCAATCCACAACTCAGGTAAATCAGGTTCATTGTGCAGTGCGAGTACAGAGGGCAAGTTGTAAAAGGCAAGCAACATTGTTGCGTGGACTTTATACCGAAATCGTATGACATCGTATGACACAAGACATGCGTATATTTGCATAAGAATGTTGAATACCCTGTATGTTACGCATTCACCGAAAGATGCAATTACAGTATTGTGCACTCACACACCTTTAAAATATACCTTGTAGAATATCTGTGAAGCGTTAGGAAAGTAAATATGGTTGGAGAAATAAAATAAAAATCCAGCAAAAAACAGTTTGATTAGTCAAGTGACTTGATTCAAATGCAAATTCTCTCTTTGTGAACATTTTTTTGTATTACTGTGCACTGAAATGTACCTGAAGTGGTTTTGGGGAATATACGGCTCAGAATCTTTAAATTGTATTATATATCCGAGTTTGGTGTGAAGTTTGGTGTGAAATGTTAATATTAATGACACGAGGTGAGTTAAACGCAGCTCCAAAACGTAAACACAACAGGACGATTACCATTCTACCCATTTATCATAAGCATAAAGAGTTGATTTCAATCGACGCATTCCATAGCATTTGTTACTTTTTTTTTTAATCGCTGCATGCTTGGGCATGTCACTTTTGCCAGTACAATTATTACACTTTGGACGTTTGATTCGATGCGTACATCCATCGTGGGCCTCAAATTTTGATTATTCGTCGACGAATGGACGCACGCACGCACACACACGTGGGTAACACATCCCTGAGTGTTAAAGGGGGCCCCCCCTTGAGTCATAAACAACACGACAATTCGGAGAAAGAGAAACAGCAGGAAGTTGGGAGGGCGCCACTTGCTCTGCCGCCTCTTGACCAGACGCTTCTCTCCGACAAGTTCTGTGGGGTTTGTAAATCAAGAACGATTACACTTGTTAAGTTTGGGGTATACGAGTTTACTCGATACGTTAAACATTACACAGCAACGGTGTTTTTTTTGTATGTGTGTGTGAACGTTTATAACCGCGTGTATTGTGTGTCGTTAATGCGAACGATCGCCACTGGAGCTATATGCACTTTTTAATCGAGACTGAAAACTAACTTCTTTATAACTGCGTTGTGTGTTAAGTTTGTTGTCTCACGCTCCGATTAGCACAGTCGGCCACGTAATGCGCGAAAGAAGGTCAACATACAGTACGGACAAAACAGGAGTTCATATGTGGATTTAGTTTCGAAGCAAGAGTGTAACACGATACATTTGCGGAAGACGAGAGAAGAACGCACGCGACTCCTTGGTGTGGACGCGTGCGCATGTGTACGCGTGTTTGTTTCTCCATTTCACATTGAATAGAGACTACACATTTGACGGGGCTTGCCGAGAACGAATGGAGAAGTATAAGGAGGGCAGTAAAGAGTCTAAATTAGTCACAACAGCTGATGGCGGTAACGAATCTAAGTTAGTCACTACAGCTGATGGCAGCAACGAATCTAAGTTAGCTAAGACAGCTGATGGCAGTAACGAGTCGAAGTTGGTCACAACAGCTGATGGCAGTAACGAGTCTAAGTTAGCTAAGACAGCTGATGGCAGTAACGAGTCTAAGTTGGTCACAACAGCTGATGGCAGTAACGAGTCAAAGTTAGCTAAGACAGGTGATGGCAGTAACGAGTCAAAGTTAGCTAAGACAGCTGATGGCAGTATCGAGTCAAAGTTAGCTAAGACAGCTGATGGCAGTAACGAATCTAAGTTAGCTAAGACAGCTGATGGCAGTAACGAGTCTAAGTTAGCTAAGACAGCTGATGGCAGTAACGAATCTAAGTTAGCTAAGACAGCTGATGGCGGTAACGAGTCTAAGTTAGCTAAGACAGCTGATGGCAGTAACGAGTCAAAGTTAGCTAAGACAGTTGATGGCAGTAACGAGTCAAAGTTAGCTAAGACAGGTGATGGCAGTAACGAGTCTAAGTTAGCTAAGACAGCTGATGGCAGTAACGAGTCTAAGTTAGCTAAGACAGCTGATGGCAGTAACGAGTCTAAGTTAGCTAAGACAGTTGATGGCAGTAACGAGTCAAAGTTAGCTAAGACAGTTGATGGCAGTAACGAGTCAAAGTTAGCTAAGACAGGTGATGGCAGTAACGAGTCTAAGTTAGCTAAGACAGCTGATGGCAGTAACGAGTCTAAGTTAGCTAAGACAGCTGATGGCAGTAACGAGTCGAAGTTGGTCACAACAGCTGATGGCAGTAACGAGTCAAAGTTAGCTAAGACAGCTGATGGCAGTAACGAGTCTAAGTTAGCTAAGACAGCTGATGGCAGTAACGAGTCAAAGTTGGTCACAACAGCTGATGGCAGTAACGAGTCAAAGTTAGCTAAGACAGCTGATGGCAGTAACAGGTCTAAGTTGGTCACAACAGCTGATGGCAGTAACGAGTCTAAGTTAGCTAAGACAGCTGATGGCAGTAACGAGTCTAAGTTGGTCACAACAGCTGATGGCAGTAACGAGTCTAAGTTAGCTAAGACAGCTGATGGCAGTAACGAGTCAAAGTTAGCTAAGACAGCTGATGGCAGTAACGAGTCTAAGTTAGCTAAGACAGCTGATGGCAGTAACGAGTCAAAGTTAGCTAAGACAGCTGATGGCAGTAACGAGTCTAAGTTGGTCACAACAGCTGATGGCAGTAACGAGTCTAAGTTAGCTAAGACAGCTGATGGCGGTAACGAGTCTAAGTTAGCTAAGACAGCTGATGGCGGTAACGAGTCTAAATTAGTCACTACAGGTGATGGCAGTAACGAGTCTAAGTTAGCTAAGACAGCTGAAGGCGGTAACGAGTCTAAGTTAGTCACAACAGGATATGGCAGTAATAAGTTCAAGGTAGCCAAGACAGGTGAAGGGAGCAAGGTGTCAGTGCGCAGTAAGGAACCTCGTGAAGTCAGCAACAGGCAGGAAATTGTTTCCAAAATCAAGAGGGGCCAAACAGCTGTGGCATCGAATGTGGGAGGGACGGACGATAGCACGAGTTTACAGGTTCAGCTGATGGAGGAGACTGCTGTGCTCGTGGAGAAGCTGCCTCGAGACCTGGACAAGGTCCTCAAGGGGAAACTGCATAAATATTTCCAGAGCAAGCGGTCCGGTGGTGGGGAGTGCCAGCTGATCTCTCACCAGGACTCAAAGCGTAAAGCCATCGTGAAATTCACCTCTAAACAAGGTATGGTAGACCATTGGAACCTCATTTGCCAGTAAAAAAATATGATAATTGTTTTTTTACCCTTCTATCTGGCAACAAAACTGGCACCATCAAGGTATGGTAGAGCAACCTGTATGTCCACACACTGCCAGGCCACGGCCCAATTAGTTAACTATGATTTGTGTGCATAAAGGAGACATTGCAGTGTAATGATGTTGCCCATGGCCATCACGCATTTGCCCTCCACCTCATGGCCAACTCCATTGTAAAACCTATATCCCATATAGTAAATCTTTTCACTATTCAGGCATCCCTCCCTCCTGAATGGAACACTGCTCTTTGAGAAGATCTTAAAAGCACAATTGTAATCGCTTAACATGCTTCCTTCCTAAGAAATCTGTTTTTTGAGAAAAATATAGCACATGCTGTGGTACTTGATACTCTTGACTTTATATTCAATAGTCTTGAATCTTGTCATCTTTATGCCATCATATTCCTCGAATTGTCTAAAGAAATTGATTTAGTGGATCACGCTGTAATGTTGCAAAGCCTGTAATGCCTAATTGTTTAGGATTGTGCAATCAACTGGATTTACAACTACTTATCTGACCTGTTTTCAAATTGTTTCCATCAGTAATTTATCGTATGACAGGATCCATATAATTTAAGGAGTTCCTCAGGGCTCTTTGCTTGGTCGTATCCTGTTTTCTCTGTACGTGAACCATTTAGGCATCTCTCATCTGCACTCTGATATTAACCTTTTTGCTAATGACAGCCCTGATGGCCGCCAGAAATTCCATGGAAGAGTTACAACGGCACCTCCAACAGGATTTTAATAATCTTAAACTTCAACGTATTGCCATAAAACTGGTCCTCATCATTAAAACCACCAAAGTTATGTTCTTCACCGGATACCTCACACCTGTCTCGCCACTGTGGCTCTAGACGCAGACCTTATTGATTACATGGCCCATAAGATAACCCAACATTTAATTACTAACAAATGCTGTATTCTAGTTTGACGCCACGTGAATATACTAAATACCACCATCCTGCCCATATTTGGCGATTGTGACACAACCTACCCCAAAACATCTCGCTCAATTATACCACTCTGCTTGCCGTTTTTCCATGGATGACCCTTGTAGAACTCATAATTGCAACCTGTATACAGTATTAACTCAACTCTGTCCTACCTGGACATCCGAAGAGACCATTACGAGGCTGTCTTCATCCTAAAAGTCTTCTTAAACAAATCTGCCAGTTACCTAAAGGACCACTTAGTTCCTCTCACTGGCGGAGCCAGTGGGGGAGGGGGTGGCACATACCCCCCCCCCCCCCCCCAATGATCCGATTGAAATTCCTAATTTCGTCGAAATCCCTAATTTCGATCGGATCATTGTGGTTTATTAGTAATAAATCGGCATTTTGCGACCCCCACTGCCACTGTGTAGCATATTATTATGTGCCAGGGACTTTATGAGATGATAGGACAATAGTCCATAATTGGCAATAAGTAACGGCAAAGCGGTTATAAGTGACTCAGAATTGTGCGCAGTTGCGTATACAGTCCACGACTTCCCTGAAGGTGAAGTACCGGTGAGGACGCTTGACACCGAGGTTGAGGCACACGTATATTTATTTCACAATACGACAGTGGGCATATAACACTCGAGGGGGTATCGGCCCCCTCACCCGTATAACTCGGGATACACCCCTAGCTAACTCTGTCCTAGCCCCGAGTCCTCCACTAATGGGCTAGGGGAGGCTATCTGGCCCGACACTGGTAAGTCGGGCCCGGTACCCGGAGTTCCAGACCAGCTCTTACAAGAGCACCGGCTCTGGCTTTCGGGACCACGCCGCTGGCTCAGTCCTGTCCGGCCCTGAAAAGGAACATCGAACTAGGGGAGTCCAGGGCTCTATCTAAGACGTCTTCAGTCTTCTTCCTTTAGCTTAAAACATAACTCCCGAGCCCTTTGAAACATCCCCTTTTATACCCAACCCCTCCCTGAGGGGTGGGGCCCCGGGGGATCATAACGTTCGAACCAGCCCCCCCCAGGGTGTCTGGCTCGGACGTCGTAGAGGGCACCTACTCGTGCACTTACGTAGCCCCGCCCACTGTGTTTGTTTTCCATAGGCTGCCATGCATAACGGGCCCTCTCTTTAACACCCCTACAAAGGCATCAACACCTTCAGCGAGAGCGAAGCCGATCACACACAGTTCCAATTTGACCCTCGATCGATGGCTGCGCCATTGCCGCACACGCGTCGAATAAAAAGCAAGGGACAAGTCCTTACTTACTAACAACTCCTCTATAATTTTTCATTGCTGGAGGGGTTGCCCCCCCTACCTGAAAATCCTGGCTCCGCCATTGGATCGTCTCACTCGCCTTCTGTAGCCTCATAAGTGCCTCTTTATTCCTATGCAAAAAATCCATTTGGTAAAAACGTGGTAAAAAATATTTCCGCGTTACTACTTGACGATTCTGAAATACCCTTGCCGCTCACGTACAGCTTGGTTGCCTTACTTCACTCCCCTCTCCTCTTTTTGTTCCTATTAGACCAAAACACAGCTTACTTGCACACGTAACAATGTTTCATGGCACATCTCGCGTGCCTTTTACGGCCATTAAATACCTTGTTTGTTAATTTTGCAATATTCCTTAAGGACCCTGTACTCGTTCTCTGCAATATTAATGTTTTTGTCTTTTCTTTTGTTGCTGCTGTGTTCATGCACCACGGATTTCCCTTGTAAAATATCCAGACAACTCACCAAACGGGATCATCAATGTAACAAGTGACAAAAACAAAACAAAAATATTTACCAAGAAAAGTTTCACTTTCAGGCGCATTCTGCATTGGAATATCTAGCCAATTAAATTAATGAGTGGATTTAAATGAAATTATGTGGATCCGCGATGTTTAACAATACTGATTAATGTTACACATGTGCAAGACTCTGGATATATTGCCAAGGAAATACATACTTCGTGACTGCAGGAATTCATATTCTTGGGTCTTTCGGTAAAGTCACGTAGCTAGGTAAAATAACAATTCTACCACGTTTCGATTTTTTACTGATGACGATTGCTTGTGTTGCGATCGAAACGTGGTAGTTTTTTGTAAATTTTTTGTAACTTTTCTGAAAGACCCAAGAATAAGGAAATAGTTACATATATTAGATTGTCTTGCATCACTATATATATCCTTTAGTCTTTCCTTCCTCATAAGGATAATGTATCACCAGAACACGGGCACTCACCAGTCTCTCATCAGACACCACTCACCTCACACGAATGATCTTGGAACTCACCAAACACTGGCACTCACCAGCCACTCATATTAGCCAGATACTCACCGTTCGCCTTCCACCGTACACTCATCACTCTCAGTAAGTCTGATGGTGGGTATTTATGGTACTCACACTGATCAGGCATTCACTCACCAGATGCTCACCACTCACCGGACACTCACCAGATAGTTACTGACACACCACTCATGCTCACCTGACCACTGACAGCTCAGACTCAACACTCCAGATAAGCATATAATTTGTGTAAAAAGTGCATCACCGAAGGTAACCCATTATTTGATACCTATATCAGGTTAATCAAGAGTACATTTTTATCGATGCATTGTTTTGGTCCTTGTTATTATTGAAATAAAAATGACTAAATACTATGTTTGTTGCAGTGCGGGACAGTGTCTTGGCTAAAGGTGAGCACGTGATTGACGTGTCCAGTGATGATAAGGTGGAGGTGCACGTCACTGCCTTCACGGCCTCAGCCAATGACAAAAGTGAAGAGGTAACCATGTCTTTGTATGCAGACAGATAACGCAACTGTTATAATATTTCACATTGCATTATTATAAGAAGCAGTACAATTCTCAATGGTCGCGAAATGGGTAAGCAGACAAAGTCTCCTTCATATATCTGTCTCTCCACAGAAAAAAACATTTTTGCACAAATTATTGGCCTCACTGCCTCCTGGAAGTGCACAATTTTATCAGCAAATGCTCTAGAATATTGTTTACATAGTGTCTCATCAGCAGTCAGGATTGTTCAAATAAACGAGCTTTGTTGCCCGTCCAAGGACAGGTGTATATTGCAGTAAATCTGAAATATTCAATAGAAAAATTCTTCAGCTCATGATTATTAATGAGGGGGGTTGCCCCATGTGGAGTGACGTCATCCGTTAATAGTTATTGTAGAGGGGTGCGGCATGTGGAGTGACGTCACCTCATAGTTATTGTGGAGGGGTGCGGCATCTAGTGACATCACCCGCTCATGATTATTCATGAAGGGAGGGATACAGCATGTGGAGTGACGTCACCCGCTCATGATTATTAATGAGGGGAGGGGTGCGGCTTGTGGAGTGTGCGACCTTGTGCGTTAGTGTAAATTTCGACGCGTGCATGAATATTAATGAAGGGGGGGGGGGGGGGCTCTTTGCGGTGACGTCACGCATGGATGTAGCACTGCTGCATAGATTTATTTTTTACCTTCACTTTCTGTAAAGAAACGTCATATTTGAAGCGACCTTGTGTAATAAATTATTTCATTTAGCTCGACCTCTGCGTTAGTGTAAAAATCCACCCACTCATGAATATTAATGAGGGGGGGTGGCCCTCATGTGGAGTGACGTCATGCGGGGGGGGTGACGTCACGCGCAGGATATCTTGGCTCATAGTAATTCTGGTAAATTTCCAGATGTTAGATATGTATGTAGAACTTCTTTCGCATCATTCGTAGCCAACAGGGCTTATCAGAGGTGTGGGGGAAGGACAACAAACTTAACCACACTAAGCAGTCCTAAAGGAATTCGTTTTAAATTTAGTTAAGGATCATCTCTGGCTATTCAGCAGCATTAACAAAATATATGTTTTTAATGTTTACGTGAAGAGACAATTACATGCAGGAGACAGATTGTCTGCTTGTCTATTTTGTTATTTATTTTCTCCACAATGACACAAATGATTACTTTGTGTTATATATTATCCAAAGTTAATTGAGATGAACAAAATTATTTGTTGGCATAGAGCGAGCTGAAGGGACCATAGAGGGGAGATGAAATGTTGAAGCGAAGTAGAATTAAGCCCATTGTATTTGCTTTCAAAGTGACAGTAAAAAAGACCTCACTGAGCACTATACTGGAACACTCAGGAAAATAAATAATTCGCCTTTCATACATACCTCCACAAAAAAAAATGTTTAGTCCATCAGCCAATTGACCTCCCAGACTTACGTTAACCAGCATCGCCTGTTGAAGCATGCAAACTCAGGAATGGTTTCGACCCCCTGGGTTTCATCAGCAATCAGGCATTTGAAACGCTAAAGTTTTGCCAAATGTTATTGGTAAGTTTACTCTCTCCACACCATGAGCATAAGTGCACAATAATATTGTACCCTGGGCAATAAATGAAATAAATGCGTTTCCATTCCGGACTTACCAATAACATATAACAAGCAGTATTTAACATGCCTGACTTTGCTGATGACACCGGCTGGGTCAAACCCTGTTCAGAATTTGCTGTTGATTAACAGAAGCCCAATGGGCTAATAAATGAACAAATATATTACTTTGTAAAAATAGGTGATTTTATTAATTCAAAGTGAGATGTTTGGTGACTGAGGTGGATAAGAATAAAAAGCCAGTGAAGGCATGTAAATAATTACATTGATACTCGTTATTTTGTTGCTTACATGGGAATAATCTTCTCCTTAACCCACTGTCTTCATCAGAGTGAAAAGGCAAAGGAAACCCCATTGGATAAATCAACAGATACGCCAGAGAAACCCAAGCCTTTCAATGAGACACTGAATGAATATTTGCTAAAGTTTATCACATCGAATGAAGAGCACAAGTTAGCGCTGGAAAGAGCCCTGGAAAAATCCAGATGCAAATGCACGGTGTTGTTGGATGTTAATACCATCTCATTCTTACCAGTAAATGAGTCAATTACAGACCACAATGAATGGCAAGGTTTGGTTACAAAGATGTTTACACAATTTATGGAGGGTTATGCTCATGAAACAATAACATGCACAGAAAAAGAATGGAAGGAGGTAGAAAGAAAGATTGAGCAAAAAATGGATGTAGAAGTGTTGTATATGAATGGCATACAACTGACGGGGAAATCTGATGAAGTAAAACAAGTAAAACAAAAAATAAAAGACATCATGAGCGAGTTTAATCGAAGTATTTTATCTATGAACATTGAACCTCATTATTTTTATTTGCTACAAGATAAGCTCTGCATGAGCTTTCCAGGTGTACAATTTCACATGGATAGCAAAGCATCAACATTATACCTCAAGGGAAATGCCAGAAAAGTTGCAGATGCCAAAATATATATAGAATCCAGCATAGAAAACTCAGACAAAAACAAATGTAGCTTTGGAAGTTATCTGAACGACTTTATAAGAAAGACTGACATCAATGCCTTGGTGCAAATGCACTTTACTGCTAATAACATTAAAGCCCTTTGTGGATTTGATGAAAATGAAATCTACATTTATTCAATAGAGGGTTATTCTGAACAGGCCCATGACATTTTAAATCGCATCTTAAAGGATCTGCTTTTTCTGGTTACTAAAAAGCATGTAGCTGTCATGAAAAGTGAACAGTGGAATGTGTTTTTTGAAAAACTAGAGCACACATTTTCTTCTGGAAATATTAAATGCATATTCACTCTTTCAAAGCACAACGATGGCACCTGCCGTGCAATTTACATCGCAGGGATAGCAGAGGCAGTAGAAAAGGCAGATAAGGAGTTGACAAGCTATTTTAAAGACAACACTGCTGAAGAAATAATTCCTTTACAGAATGAAGCATTGTGCAGTTGCATCATTGAATACCTGAAGATCATCGAACATCCTCCATTCAAAAGTGTTTCTATAGAAAGGCATGATTCACTGATGGATATCGTTATTACGGGCCACAGTGAAGAGGTAGAGAAACACAAGCAGTCTATAAATAATGTGGTTTCAAAAGTCAACAAAGAACTTGGGGGAAATGAGAGTGGGGTACCAGATGCAAAGAGCATCTCTATGTTCCTAGATAAATACAGAGGGCGTAACTCTCGATTTCTTACTCAGAATCATGAAGAATTTGCTTCAGTGGCAGGTGCTTCAGAAAGACCAGTTGCAACTCAACAAAGGCCTCCTGTAAGATTGCCTGGCAATCGATTTCTATTTGTGCATGAAGACGACATTTTAAATATGAATGTGGATGTGATTGTAAATGCAGCAAATGAAGATTTACAACATTTCGGGGGGCTCGCTAAAGTACTGTCTTATGCAGGAGGTACAGTCATTCAGCAGGAGAGTGATTCTTACGTCAGAAAGCATGGAAAAGTGCCTACAGGAGAGTTGGCCATAACGGGGCCAGGCCGCCTGCCATGCAAGAAGGTGTTTCATGCTGTCGGACCTGCATGGGGAGATTACCAGTCTAATACATCTCTAGGAATTTTTCTTCTTCGAAAGGTTGTCATGAATGCGTTAAAGAAGGCTGATGAAAAAGGTTTCAAATCCATTGCAATTCCTGCTATTAGTGCTGGAATATTTTCCTTCCCACTGGATATCTGCTCTCAAGAAATTTGCCGTGCTATTTTTGACTACTGTAAAAGAACTCACGATTGCCCGAAAACCCTGACTGATATTCACATCGTGGATATAAATCACGAATTTATTTATAAGTTGAGAAAAACCATAGAGCTTACAATGAACCGCAAGGACCGATCAGAAGAGCAGTCAAGTAAAACCCATAAAATGCATGAAGAAGAAGAAGAGGATGAGGGCCCAAACAAAAAATGTAAATTTGCTTGTCATGAAACTGAAGAGAGAGTCACTGCTTGGGGAAATCGTCAAACAAAGGAGACATTTTCTGCAGAAATGGACGACATTCACAGAAGCTCTTTTACCACGAATGAAGGGAGAAAGATACAAGTTGTATTTGGAAATATTGAAGATGAAACGGTAAGTTATTTCTGGTACCATTCAATTGTTCATGCATACTTTCTCAATGTGAAATATCAGTGTGTAAATATAAATGTGTCGTTAAACCCGCCAAACCTTACTAATTGGCTGTGTCGGGTGGTGGCGGGTTTAACGACACATTTATATTTACGTGATTTAACAAAAAAAAAACTATATTATGAAAAAAACAGTGTTAACTCTTCACAATGCTGTATGCATATCATTGACTCAGGAGGAATGATTGGCAATACTATGTTTGAGTCTAATCTCACACAGCATCAGCAAGACACCTATATAATAACTAAATTAATAAGGCTAAGAAAATTGTCATTTCACTGCTGGATTAATGCCTCCTCATGCCGTATCATTCATTGGTGTAGTTTGGACTAGTTCAGATATGACTTGCTACTGATATTAGCTGTGGCTGGGAATCAAACTCTTGTCGTTGGGTTCAGAGCAGTATGCTAACAACTGCACCACCACTCCACGTCTTTATGTATGGCATGAGATATATTGTATGTACACTGTTGAGGGTTGGGTGGTGGCCCAATAGTAAGCACCAGAGGTGGGACAAAGTCATTGTTATGCAAGTCCAAGTCGAGTCTGAAGTCATCAAATTCATGACTCGAGTCTGACTCGAGTCCAAGTCACATGACTCGAGTCCACACCTCAGAGGTGGGACAAAGTCATTGTTATGCAAGTCCAAGTCGAGTCTGAAGTCATCAAATTCATGACTCGAGTCTGACTCGAGTCCAAGTCACATGACTCGAGTCCACACCTCAGAGGTGGGACAAAGTCATTGTTATGCAAGTCCAAGTCGAGTCTGAAGTCATCAAATTCATGACTCGAGTCTGACTCGAGTCCAAGTCACATGACTCGAGTCCACACCTCAGAGGTGGGACAAAGTCATTGTTATGCAAGTCCAAGTCGAGTCTGAAGTCATCAAATTCATGACTCGAGTCTGACTCGAGTCCAAGTCACATGACTCGAGTCCACACCTCAGGTAAGCACACTGCATTACAAGCCTGGCCGCCTGAGCTTAATTCCCGGACATAGCGAACAGTGGTGCGTGATATTTGAACTGGTCAAGCTCTCCAGCCCCTCACCACCCCCCTCAAGTTTTCAGTGACCAAACAATGCCTACAAGTGACACAGCATTGGGAGACCTTCATCCCCCAGTTGAATGACAAAGGAATGTGCATTACTGTGTACACTTACCACCTTGTTTATTAAAAAATAGTAGAACTGGGATACCCGATTCAATAATTGTTCAATTACTCTAAGAATGATCTATTCGTAAATCAGATGACATGAAAAGTCGAAAAACGGTTGACCTCTATCTCCATGTGTGCCTCTGGATGGGAGGTTATGGGTGCAGCTTAATAAATTCACCAGCATAATGACTTTGTCGGTTAATTCACGCAGAACGTGACTTGTAGGGGGTTTCCCATCTGTGGCAGGCTGCCATTTTTAAAGCAGGCTGAGCAATTGCCCGCAAAAAGTAGTTGATTAATCAAAGCTTCGCCCGAGCTCTAAAAACGAGTTAATTGGTTCAAATACTTAACACTATTGGTACCTCATTTGCCAGTAAAAAAATATGATAATTGGTTTTTTACCCTTTTATCTGGCAGAGTTATGTTTTTTGTTTGCATTATGACTGCAGGTATTGTGGTCTATGCAAACATGACTCCTCGGTAAAAAGGTGTCAGTTTTGTTGCCAGATAAAAGGGTAAAAAACCAATGATCATACTTAACACTGTCATAGAGTTTTTGTCATCCAGTTGTAAATGTTCATGTCGCCCTAAACATGTGCAAGTTAAATGTGCCGCCCCCCCAGATAGAGTATAATATTTACATCATTTTTTCAGACTGAAGTTATCGTGAACTCCACGTCTATTGAAATGAAACTTCACAATGGAGGTGCAACATCTGCTGCCCTTCTTCGTAAAGCTGGGCCTGCACTCCAGGATGAACTTAACAGAAAAAAACCCCGTCACATTGGTCATGGAGACATCATAAGCACAGACACCTCAAAATGTCTATCTTGCAAGGAAGTGTACCATATTGCTCTGCAATCTGTTATAAACAAAGGGGTAAGTGGCCCTGTTATTTAATCTAATGTAGGAAGACAAAAGTGAAATTCGAAGTGTCTTCTTTGCTTGCTCCACTTGAGCATTGGGTTGTGCCCTGAGCCAGTGGTGGAGATTCTGCATTCGTTTAGTTTTGTGTTCCTGTAGTTTACCAATTTAATACTGTACCATGTGGATTTTCATTAAGCCACATGAAAATGAATGTATAAACACGGTGGATCTCTAAAAATAACATGCCATAAATTGGCTGATTTCCACAAAGGTTGCTCAATCCTGTTGACATTTGCCAGAAGGCAAAGCTCTGCCGAAGTGGCTCCAAACAATCAAGAGCCTGTGAGCTCGACATCGGCACATTTCGCTGCCAAGAGCCCAATAAAATTGGGCACAGCAGTCCTGTACCTAAATAAGGGGCTTTCATGCCCTACTTCCACAGTCTCATAAACAGACTAATGAATTCAAACCAAATTAATCCCAATGGTGCCTTCGTGTAGTTGTACAAGACACAACATTGTTAAAATGCTATGGGATAGCGATTTGCACTATTTATGGCAGAAATTTTGCACCTGAACATATGGAACTGTTGGTTGATGGAGTAATCCATCAGTCGGGCTCGTGGATTTCTAAGATGTGATTCGTTATACCCAGGGAATTTCCCTTTTGATGAAGTGATCCATTTAAAATAACTTTAAAAGATTTGCCAGTCTTAAATTTTAAGCTGTTCTTATTAGGAACACAACTCTTGCCATACCCTCCATGGTTGTCGGATCACAAACATTGTTTTACCAGCCTGCACTAGCAAATCTCTCCAGGATATGAATTGGGTTTAACATGCAGTTATGAACTTGATTCGCATCTTTATCCCTGTTTACTCAAACACAAAGTCCTCCATAAAGTTTCAATAGTTAACACGTAGGCTTTCGTGACCAATATCATCCATGAGGTTTTTTTTTTGGGTTAGATCGCGTAAATATATAAATGTGTTAAAACCCGCCACCACCCGACACAGCCAACGAATAACGGTTGTCACCTAAAAATAACGTGCCAATTCGACACTAATACAGCACACCGGTGTGTTGGAGAGCCAAGCCACAGCATTTACAATCCGAGTACGATGTTTCGCCAGTAATTACAACTAGCTTCATCAGGTGACAGCCAGATTTGTGTAAAAGTCCACCTGTTTCGTTCCTTATATAAAGGCCACAATTCGTGATTCATGGTAAGAGAAACATGTTAAATCTTTTTTTTATTGCAAATGTACAAATAATACTTGATTAACCATGTTTTTATTTTATATACAGTACGTTTATTGGACTTAATAATATAAGGTTGGTTTCAATTTTATCGTTAAGTTTAAAATGTCTCAATTAGGAAAGTAAAAATACTATTTCAATAAACATGTTTTACATGCTGTAACTTTACCAATATAATTCCACATTGCAGTTATGTCGTCTACTTGTTTTGCAGTCTGTGTACAAAATGACACTGGATTGCCTGAAGAAAGCTCACAAAGCAAACGTGACATCCATCTCCTTCCCAGCCCTGGGCACTGGGAATTTAAACTACCCGCCACAGCAGGTTGCTAGTGCCATGCTGTCAGCTGCCATCCAGTTCAGCAAGGAGCATGAAGACAACATTCTTCAGCTCATTCGATTTGTGATCTTTAGCTCTAAACCAGACATATTTAAGGTAAGTGTACATTTTAATACAGGTATACACTACCTTGCTTTGTTTTCAAAAAACATACTCGTATTGACAGACCCAGGTTTGTCATAGATCATAGAATCTCCACATTTTTATGGTGAGGACCAGTATATTATTGGGATATTCATGGGATGACTACTGTTGCTTTCCCCCAAAAGGTGATTATTTACCAAATGGAAAGGGGCTGATATTCTTGGAACGTATAGTGGACTAAATAAACATGTTTTATAACAGGTAATGTGTGTTTAGTAATAGTGACAGACATGCTTTTACAATGACGATGTAGGAGAGAAAATATTTTAAGATAGTATGAAGTGAGATATTATTGTAATAGGAATCTGTGTATGATATTACATGCATAACATCCCAGATTTGAGATGATTGTAAAAGGTTATATGCAATGTACAGTATATGGTGCATTGTAAAATGTCATTTACTTATCCTGTAAAGTGGCCTATTCACAGTTAAAACGAATGTATTTTACTGTAATTATTCAATGCCAAGCACCTGTGTGCTTTCCGTACAGATGTTTTATTAGTATTTACAAAATAACCTGCTGCCGAGTCCGTATTCTTCAGTGAGTATTTTACTGTTACAGGCTTTTGAAAACGAAATATCGAGTTCCATATCGGACTCCAAAGCCAGAGCGCCCAACCTTAAGCAGGAGGAAAGGTTTCAAACTGGCGGAGGTACAACATTCACGTGTTCTCTCATGCTTTTGACGCCTGCATGCATTCATTACGAAAAAATGTAGTGACCATGTTTGCTATTTCTTACTTCCAAGATGTAAAGTCTCAGGGTCTAATTGTATCACCATGTGCATTTCAATTAATTATTATGTTAAAAGGTAGTCTATGGAAATGTTTAAACATTACAATTTTCTACGTTGCAGAGCATATTAAGAATCCATTTAAAATACAGGGAATTACTGTTGAGCTGTGCAGTGGTGACATCACTCAAGAGAAGACGGACGCCATCGTCAACTCCACAAACGCGACGATGAGTGTGACCAAAGGTAACCATGAACCACACCAATAACATAATTACAGAATTTGCACAGGATACTTTCAAGAAAATTAACATGAAATAAACAGTACTTTATAAAAGTGAAAATGGGTTCATTTAACCCCGCGATCAATCGCTAGCTACTCAGCTGTGATCACTAGCAACAACGTTCACACTGGCATGTGTTGCGCCATAACAAGGCGCTGTAAGCAGCTTACCTGCCACCACGCTCACGGGCCGACAGGGGGCAGCCGAGAGAGAGCAAGGTGTGTCGGGGTTGACCAAAGGTCAAGCCCCCTTCCCCCTAGGGGGCCTGTGACCGGAGATTGACCCCCAAGACACCCCAGGGGCTGGGGGCTTAGGAGGATAGGGACCGCCCACCGATCCTAAGACCCCTTAAGATTAAGACCCCTTAAGACCGTCCAGAAGGTTCTGGAGGAGGGGTCATGAGGGGAGGGATAAGCCCGACCTGGGGATAAAAAGCCGACCCTTTGGATGGGTCCGGCAGTGTTCGCCAACTCAAGCTTTTCCTCTGTCTCCTTGACTTCAGGTTTTTTTTGTTTTGCCCCATCTATGAGCATCCACCTCTTGCTACCTCCTGATCTTTGCCTGACCTCTCCTCTGAATCCTCGCTGCCTTTACTGCCGTGGAACTCATTGGTGTTCCGGCTGCTCCTGGAACTCTGTGAAAAGGACTTTCGTGCCCTCAAGACTCCCCTGCCACTCGTTGTACTCGTTGGTTGAGCATCCGCAATGGAACTCGTTGAAGGGTCCCGGCCCCCATCGATGTCTCTGTTGTCGGTGTTGGACCCCAGTTGCTTCGCCCTGGGCTGTGCCATATCATGTTGCTCTGTCATTTCTCCCTGTTTCCCTCCCTTGACCCCCACCCTACCGCACCTATGACTATAATTTAGCTTTTCCTCTTAAATGTGAAGTGTCTTGCGTTTCATACTACATTACAAAATTGTTCTGCGTGCGTTCTAACTGGCTGGAGGCCATGTGCCACCCAACGATCAGAGAGGAAGGGCCGCAGATGTAGTTGGCACATGGATGGGGGCACGCCGTGGGAGGCACGGGATGGGCACCGAGGGGAGCGCAGGTGGGGGATGCGTGGGGGTGGAGGGGGGTGCACGCTTGAGGGCGCGCGCGAGGGGGGCCCGTATGGGGGTGTATATATGGGTAGGGGACGGAGGGGTCTGGGAGTCCCATGTGTGAGAGTGGGGGACCCAGTGGTGGTGGGAGGACCGTCATTCAACGACAGGTACTTTCACTATCGCGTTTTATGAAGTAAAGTGACAGACGGACAGTCACGTCCAAAAAACATGCAGGCTGCAAGTATATGTTAAAAACTATGATTGTTGTTGTGTTACCCTTCCAGGAATTTGCAGTGCTATCCTTAAGGCTGCTGGACTTAGGATTAAAGATGAATTCTCAAAAGGTAATTATTGTGTTATTCATGATAGTTTCCATTTATTTGGTCAAGAATAGGTCATTGATGTTATTGTATAGGTTGAAGTTATTAGGTCAGGATAAATATTATTTATTGTATTACATTTTTATATAATCCCTTATTTTTTCGATGTTTCAATATATATTATTTCCTTATTACAGAAAATCCCAAGTTCGGAGACATTGTTGTGACCACAGCAGGCCATTTGGAGTGCAAATATATTTTGCACATTGCAGGCCTTCCGCATAATATTGAACAAACCTGTTCAAGAATTCTACATGAATGTCAAAAGAAAAATATTAAATCTGTGTCTTTTCCAGCATTTGGTACAGGTACATATATATTAGATTTTTTTTATGAATGTTATATTTTGTTTCCATACAAGAATGGTGAAAATGCATTTTTTCTTCAGTTATTCAAATGTAAAAACTGGCCTTTGCCATTGGGAATGTTTGATATGCACATGCTCAGGACCACCAAAATAGATGAGCATTACCACACACTAAAGTAGGGAGACAATTTTCCTTAAAATTATATGTAGAAATTATTACCAAAATCTCGGCAAAATTGTTTCAAGTATCATCCTTAATGATTTATTCTTGCCCCCATGTTGTTTCATCAGGTGAGGCGAAGCTATCACCTCAGAACGTTGCTTCTAGTATGCTAAACGCAATCCATGCGTTTGCAAAAAAACAACAACCTACAATTGTGACCAACATACGCATTGTGTTTGTTGAAAATTCGCTTTTGAAGGTCTTCCAAGACGTCTTTCATGGAAGCATTCACTAACATCACTTAGCTGCACTGAACACTTACGTAATAGTGTTGTTTGCTGCCAGATTACACTTTTTTGTTTTCATCACTAATCTAACTTGATATCCGTTGGGTGTTTATCCACATCTAAATGTATGTCTATCATGAGATATTAAAATATACAGTAAGTTATCTATTTACGTTGGGGATGCATCCTTGGAAACGTGACATGAGGCGAAACATAAATCTAAACATCTATTTTACCGTTGACTTAATTACGTTTCTGGGGTAAAATTTTCGTCAAAATTTGCAGAATAAATATTAAGTCTTAAAAAGATTCCTATAAGTATGTTACATAACACGCTTAAATAAATAAGTTAAAACATAGAGCTCACCAGAGATGGTGGCGGATATTGCACAAACAGGGACTCACACTTGATGCAGCTAATTCGGCTGTGACGGTCCCACCTGATGACGGAGGCTTGTGTTGCCTCCGAAACGTCGTGATTTTTGTTTTATTTTTTTTTATTTTCATTAATTTTGATGTTATACCTACGTGACTTTACCGAAAAAACCTAAGAATATGAATCCTTGCAGTCACGAAAGCTTCAAATCTAGAATTATAAATTTCTATATAACTTGAGCCATCATTTGTGGCCAGGTCGCTTCTGAAAAAAAGACACATAGCTCAGTGGTCCTTACCTGGTAATTATTAGCTTACAACTCATGCTCATAATACTGCACGAAAAACGAGACTGTATATTAACAACTCCTATATTGCCAAACAAAAATTACATTAAAATGGATTTCCCCAAGCCCCAAATACATGATTATCTTCATTGTAAGGTCTTGCAATGTGGCCACTTTAGAATGCTTATAAATTGCGTTTAAATGGAAATGGTATGTAATTTTATGTAATTTATAACATGGCATTAAATATGTGCAAATAATCACCCAGAAATGTCTGTTCGTCCCGCGCGGGACGTCACTCCATATATTCATGCTTCAAGCTTCAAATCAAGATTGCCCTCGTGGAAATGTACACTTACGCACAAGAAGCTCGCGCACTCCACATGCTGCACCCCTCCACAATAACCATTAGCGGATGACGTCACTCCACACGGGGCAACCCCCCCTCAATAATCTTGAGCTGAACTATTTTTCTATAGAATATTTCAGATTTACTGCAATATATACCCGTCCTTGGATGGGCAAAAAAGCTAGTGTGCAAATAAACTCCTTACGTTCTCTGCTCAAGGTGCAGGTCTGCAATTCCTTCCCTCCCCACCCACCTCCATCTAGCAACACCACGTGATGTTTCTACGAGTTATGAGACACCGATATACCTAGCTTGCTTGCGTCGCTATGCGCCTCGGTCCAAACGTCACTCATTGCATCCTCGTCAAACACCACTCGCGTAACACACAGCTCATCGGACATTTAACACGTGTACGGTCCTACGGGTGGGGGTGATGCACACTTGGATAGACAGGGATGGAACATCAAAAGAAAACCGATATCCATTTCAAACACCCCGTTTTTGATGAAAATATCGACTTACACGAAAACAACTGTAAACATCGATGTGCGCAATGTTTTTGATTTATTAAGGGGCCGTCCATAAATTACGTCACGCACCTGGGGGGGGGGGGGGTCAGACATTTGTGACGATGTGTGACGAGTGGGGGGGGTGGGTTTGAGAAATGTGACGTCACATCAAAATGCGCAACTTTAAATAAATATAGACAACACGTTCCACTGAATTAAATAAACTTTTTAATTAATGTTTTATCCTACAACATCATAGTGCAGCGCCACATTAAATACGCACTACAATGACAATAGTTTAAAGCCATTTGAGGCATGTTTTTGGGGGGGGGGGCAGAGCTTTGTGACGTCATATTTGAGGGGGAGGTCTGACTTTTTGTGACGCCGTGTGACGAGGGTGGGGGGGGGGTCAAAAATCGTCCAAAATCGCGTGACGTCATTTATGGACGGCCCCTAACGACATTTGCGCGGGATACAACAATAGGGGTGCGCAGTCAGGTGGTGTGATGTCGGCACGCACGAACCCGTCGAGTTTTGAACATATACTGTACATGTTTTTATCAAAACCACCACGATTCATGGGCAGATAGCCGATAGGTATCCACGTTCCCTAATTTGTTTCCACTCTCCTCTGTCTTGATCTACAGACTAAATTAACCTGTTGATTATGGATGGGGTAGGCCATGTAAGGTGACAGTCGTTCCTTCATGCAGTTCATTATTATTACCAAGTCAGCTCGTCAATCAAGACGATGCATTGCTGTCCAGAAATACAATCAGGGGGATTTCTCTTCCGTCCGTCCAGATGCCACTCACATTAGATTAGATTTAGAAGTCACCATTGACGTCAGGCAAATCACGCATGCTCTGATCTGAGTTACAATGGCTCGCTACATTGCAGCCATGTCTCTACCATCCTGCGCTTGCATTCGACCATCGCAACTCTTGTTCGCAAGTACAGAAAGACCCCGTTGAGTGCCCAAGATGCATTCCTGGAGAAGTGAGCATTAATCGAAACAGCACGATAACGGGTCTTATTGTAGACATGGGGATACGTTCCCGATAAGTTATTTCTATCCTGATGTAAAGCTTTCGTGACTTCAGGGATTCATATTCTTGGTTCTTTCGGTAAAGTCACGTAGAAGGGAAATAATAAAATAATAAAAATATTAAACAAAATTCTCACGACGTTTCGATTGCAACACAAACCATCATCATCAGGCGTGAAATCCACAACAAAATGCATTGTTTTATATTTTATTCTTTTATTATTTCCCTTCTACGTGACTTTACCGAAAGAACCAAGAATATATTTCGATCCTATTAACAATGAGGACTTCATTTGGGTAGCGCTAATAATACTAATTGTGGTGGTAAACGTAACTTAATGAATAAACTATTTATTCAAACATCACTATTCTGTACTGTTTTCAAGAGTGCATAAGACTCCACGGCAGCGGTAGGAGGTGAGATTGTTGGAGCTGATGCGCTTCCAATCCGGTCCATTCTCGGAGACGATCTCCGAGAACTCCGTGATCTTGCCGATGCCCCAAGTCGACATTTCTTTGGTGAGGTTTCTTTTCAGCTGGAGTCTGAGACTCTGTCCAGTTCTCGTGAATTCTCACCTGGCTAAACGCACCATAATAACATTCAAATAAGACTAAAATCTGTTTTTCAACTATTTAATTTGTATATTCTAAAGATAACAGAACGCTCTGTATCATATACAAGTGGCGTTAAAACACAGTGCCGAAGTCTACTATGTTTTAACGTGACTGGGGGCGTCAGGACTTTGGTCCCATCACCACTGGCTAAAAAAAACATCGAAATACATTCACGTGTGCATGTTACAGTGCGGCACAAGAAAAACAACGAACTCGCGATGATATTCGCGATAAATTGTGGGGGGAGCGACAGTGGAGTGGTTGGCAACGCTGCGCAATGAACCCGGCCCCAACACCCAGTGACGATTATCTGAACCGGTCATGGGCCTCTTCTAGGTCGACTCAGCTTTAAACGAGTACCTGGTGCGGCCTGCAGTAAACCTACGCCACTGGGGAGACAAAGGCGGCCGGGCGTGGTGCTGGCCACCCCTCCCGTCCTTTATAGGTGCTCGCTAACAGCACTTGTTTAATTAACTACACGGGGGTGGGGGGCTATTTGTCTTTGTAACCCTTTGGGAATCCCCGTGAGTGCCGGCGACATTTCGGAGTCGGTGCCGAACGCTCCACGCCGCACGCACTCGACTCGTGAACAAATCGATTCTCCCGTAAGGGGCCGTCCATAAATGACGTCACGCACCTAGGGGGGGAGGGGTCAGACATTTGTGACGATGTGTGACCAGGGGGGGAGGTTGAGAAATGTGACGTTACATAAAATGCGCAACTTTAAATAAATATAGACAACACGTTCTACTTAATTAAATAGACTTTTTAATAAATGTTTTCTCCTACAACATCAGAGTGCAGCGGCACATTAAATACGCACTACAATGACAATAGTTTAAAGCGATTTGAAGCACGTGTTTTATTTTCAAAATGGAAATATGGTTTTGGAGGGGGGGGGGGCAGAGCTTTGTGACGTCATATTTGAGGGGGGGGTGTCTGACTTTTTGTGACGCCGTGTGACGAGGGGGGGGGGGGTCAAAAATCGTCTAAAATCGCGTGACGTCATTTATGGACGGCCCTTAACGCGGCGCGATCGTCTCCGGCGTTCCGTGAGTCGTCGTCGTCGTTGTTGTCGTTGTTGCCCATCGTGTTCCACGCCTCCGCTGTGAGCCGAGGGCGTTCAAACTCCGGGGTTCCAGTCCCAGATGAGAGGCGAGTTGCGGCTGCGGCGGGGAGCGAGGCCACTCGCCCTCCAGGATCGCACTTCCAGTGTTGGGGGGTATGTGTCATCGACAGCTGTTCATAATTGACACTTGTTAACTGAGTGTACGTGAGTTGACTACATTATCCTGAGCGGCAGCAGCAGTGTGTGTGTGTGAACGTGTCTTCGTTTAACGCGGCGCGCGTCGTTGTCATTGGCGTGAACGATTGTGTAACGAACACAAAAAAGGGGAAGTTGGTGTTGTTCTGGGTTTAGTTTCGAAACGCGTAGCAAAGAGACATTTTGTAAAGACTGAACAGGCAACGCAGCTAAGTGACTCCGTGTTGTGTCCGTGTCTTTGTGTTTTGTCAATTGCTCCCCGGCCTTTATAGGTACTTGCTAAGAGCACTTGCCCCAGCAGTCTGCTAAGACTGTACGAGAGATCTTTGTCCCCCCTGAATTAAAAACTAAAGCGGCTGCACATTTTGACGTGGATTGCTGAGAAGGTGTTAGTAGAGAAAACGTCTCAGGAACCTCGGTCAAGAATACAGGTGATGGTAGTAATACCTCCGAGTTAATAAGCATCGTAATGAGTCGTGATTAGTCCAGACAGTCGAGGACAACGAGTGACAAAACGAGTGAATACGGACGGCATCGGGCAGGATTTGATTGACAGGATGGAGAGGGGCCAAACAGCTTTGGCACCCGATGTCGGACGAACGGCCGACGACACGAGTTCACAGGTGCAGCTGATGGAGGAGACTGCTGTGCTTGTGGAGAACCTGCCTCGAGACCTGGACAAGGCACTCAAGGGGAAACTGCAGAAATATTTCCAGAGCAAGCGGTCGGGTGGTGGGGAGTGCCAGCTGATCTCTCACCGGGACTCAACGCGTAAAGCCATCGTGAAATTCACCTCTAAACAAGGTATGGCAGAGCAGGGTGCCTAAACTGTCGCACACAGCTACACAATGATGTGCATTTTTATAATGATATTGTATCCTTACCTCTGTTGCTACATTGCCATTTGTCTCTGCCTATGCGCTTGTTTCTTTGCATTTCCAATTATCTCTCTGTCTCTTTGTATGTATGGTGTCGTTTGTATCTGGTTCTGGAACTCCATCTCAGCCTCTTGCTGTGCAATAAACATTGTACTGGATATTATCTCAAAAATAGCAAAAACAAAAATCTCACATTTATTTTACAATATGATACAAGGGAGGTGTTTGTTTTGCTAATTTCGAGAAAATTAGCAAATTGAGTCAGTTTTAACCGGTTCTTAATAAACGGTTATCCGAAAATGAATCGTCCGATACTCTTGAACCAATTGAATCATATTAACAGGTTCAACTGGTTTTCGGTTAACCCAAACTTTATCCAAAACCAATCAGTTAGACTTCCTGATTTAAAGACACCACTGTCCAACTTGCATGTGCAATAATTACCTGTAAAGACAAAGTTACGCAGACAATACGTTTCCATATAGTATCTGTCTCTCCACATAAAAGTATACTTACACAGCCACTGGCCCCACGGCCTTCTGGGAGTGCAGACTCTCAAGAGCACTGATTAAAAACAAGTAAATTCTGGACCAATTTTAAAATAGTGGCTCATCAGCTAGCTTAACTGATGCTGTTGGTGAATTTTCAGATGTTATTGACAAGGCATGGTCCCAGTGCAATATTAAACGATAACACATCACACAATGCTTTTGAAATTATGCACTCCCAGAAGGTCATTGGGCTGGTGGTTGTGTAAACAAAAATATGTATTTTTTCGTGTAGACATATGAAGGAGACAATTTTCTGCACATCCATTTTGATCACTTACATTCTCCACAACGACACATTATTTGTATTGTGTAAAGACTAATGACTGAACTGTTAACTTTGGTTACAAATTATTTATATATCTGAGTTCAATTCCCATTTCTCTTTGTTTGGGGGCAAAACGTGACTCATGCTTTTTCTTCCAACAAAGGACTAACACTTTTTAATAAAAGTCAGATATGGAGAGATTATAAGATTCACTTTCATTAAATGCAAAAACTGTAATGTGATTTACAAGATATACCAATCTTAATAATTTGGAAGAATATCATTCTTTCTTTGCAGTGCGGGACAGTGTCTTAGCTAAAGGTGAGCACGTGATTGAGGTGTCCAGTGATGAGAAGGTGGAGGTGCACGTCACTGCTTTCACGGCCTCACCAGCAACTCCTGCGGAGCCTGGAGCATCCAATAAAGAAAAGTCAAATGATGAGGATTTATCAACCTCGGCAAATAACAAAAGTGAAGTGGTAACCATCTCTCTGTATTCATTAACAGGAAGCACTGCAGACGCATACCTGAACCATTATAATGTTTAAAGTTGCATTATGACATTAAGCAGTAATGATCTAAATTCGCCAAGCTAGTTGAAATGAACAATATGTATGTTAGAATTTATAGGGCAGTTTAGATATTATTTTTGTATGGGACGATGGAACAGAAGGTTATGTAATTTTAAAAATTCGATGTTTGATAGCTGAAGTGCAGGCAGATTAAATACTATGGGAGGCATGTAAAGAATGGCATTGACACCATTTCTTTTGCTGCTTACATTATATGAATCTTCTCATTAACCCATTATCTTCAACAGAGTGAAAAGACAAAGGAGAACACATCGAATAAATCAACAGATAAGCCCGAGCAACCCAAGCCATTGGAGGAGAAATTGAATCCATATTTGCTGAAGTTTATCACATCGAATGAAGAGCACAGGTCAAAGCTGGACAGAGCCCTGGCAAAATCCAGATGCAAAATCAAGACGGTGAATTTTGACACCATCTGGCTCTTACCAGATAATGAGTCCATCACAGACCACAATGAATGGCAAGGTTCGGTTACAAAGATGTTTACACAATTTACCGAGGGCTATGCTCATGAAACAATAACATGCACAGAAAAAGAATGGAAGGAGATAGAAAGAAAGAGTGAGCAAAAAAGTGATGTAGAAGTTTTGTATATGAATGGCATACAACTGACGGGGAAATCTGATGAAGTACAAAAAGTTAAACAAGACATCATGATCGAGTTTAATCAAGGTAGTTTATCTATGAACATTGAACCTCATTATTTTGATTTGCTACAAGATGACCTCTGCAGGAGGTTTCCAGATGTACAATTTCACATGAAGAGCAACACATTATGCCTCAAGGGAGATTCCAGAAAACTTAATGATGTGAATAAATACATTGATGTCAGTTTACAGGACTCCGATAAAAAGACATGTAGCTTTGGAAGTTATCTGAACAACTTTTTGAGAAAAACCAACCTCAGAGCCTTGGTGCAAACGCACTTTACTGGTAATGAAATCAAAGCCCTTTGTGATTTTGATGAAAATGAAATCTACATTTATTCACTTGAGGGTCATGCTGAAAAGGCCCATGACATTTTAAATCTAATTTTAAAGGATCTGCTTTTTCCAGTTACTAAAAAGCATGTAGCTGTCATGAAAAGTGAACAGTGGAATTTTTTCTTTCAAAAACTACAGCAAAATGTTTCTGAGGGAAAATATAACTGCATATTTAGTACAATAGAGCACAAAGATGGGACCAGTAGTGCGATTAACATTGCAGGGATAGCAGAGGCAGTAGAAAAGGCAGATAAGGAGTTGACAAGCTATTTCAAAGACAACACTGCTGAAGAAATAATTCATTTTCAGAATGAAGCATTGTGCAGTTGCATTATTGAATACATGAAGATCATCGGACATCCTGCATTCAAAAGTGTTTCTATAGAAAGGCACGATTCACTGATGGATATCGTTATTATGGGCCACAGTGAAGAGGTAGAGAAACACAAGCAGTCTATAAATGATGTGGTTTCAAAAATCAACAAAGAAGTTGGGGGAAATGAGAATGGGGTACCAGATGCAAAGAGCATCTCTATGTTCTTAGATACATACAGAGGGCGTAACTCTCGATTTCTTACTCAGAATCATGAAGAATTTGCTTCAGTGGCAGATGCTTCAGAAAGACCAACTCAACAAAGGCCTCCTGTAACATTGCCTGGCAAGCGATTTCTGTTTGTGCATGAAGACGACATTTTAAATATGAATGTGGATGTGATTGTAAATGCAGCAAATGAAGATTTAAAACATTTGGGGGGGCTCGCTAAAGTACTGTCTGATGCAGGAGGTACAGTCATTCAGCAGGAGAGTGATTCTTACGTCAAAAAGCATGGAAAAGTGCCTATAGGAGAGTTGGCCATAGCGGGGCCAGGCCACCTGCCATGCAAGAAGGTGTTTCATGCTGTCGGACCCGAATGGGGAGATTACCGGTATAATACATCTCTAGGAATTATGCTTCTTGAAATGGTTATCAAAAATGTGTTAGAGACGGCTGATAAAGAAGGTTTCAAATCCATTGCAATTCCTGCCATTAGTGCTGGAATATTTGCCTTTCCATTGGATATCTGCACTGAAACATTTTGCCGTGCTATTTTTGACTACTGTAAAAGTACCCAGGATTTGGACATCACCCTGACTGATATTCACATCGTGGATGTTAATCATGAATTTATTTCTAAATTGAGAAAAACTATCGAGCTTCCAATGAATTGTAGGGACCGATCAGAAGAGCAATCAAGTAACACCCATGAAATGCAGGATGAAGAAGAGGATGCGGGCCAAAACCAAGAATGTAATTTTGCTAATTATAGCACTGAAGATAAAGTCACTGATTGGGAAAATCGTAAAGCAAAGGATGAATCTTCATTAAAAATGGACGACACTGAAAACAACATGTTTTTCACCCATGAAGGGAGACGTATACAAGTTGTAAACGGAAATATCGAAGACCAACGTGTAAGTTGTTTTCTGGCACCATTAAGCTTTTGTACAATCTCTGTCAAATGCTTTACTTCTAAGATAGGTATTGGGTGGCACTCAACTCTATATTGAATCCTGAGCCAGTGTTGGAGTGTCCACACTCGTATGGTGGTTATCCATCTCCACAAGACAACCACTGTTTAATGCTTACATAGTGGTACATATTTTAATGACCCAGGAGGAATGATTGGCTAATTCAACCTGTGACTTGAGATTTACATTTTCACTAGGTAAGTTGGGTGCATCTACCAATCAAATACCTATGTGGAGAAAAATATTTAAGTGATCTTCCACACTTAAAACCACACTGATGTTTGAGACCGTATGTGTTAATGTATTATTGTTATTTTAACATTTACCCAGAAAAGCCTCGCTGAACCCCAAGACTCTTGCTAAGTTTTGCATTTGAATGCAAAATTTTTGTGTTTTTTTCCAAAATGAGTTATTTGCAAATACATTTTATCATTCAACACATGCCATAAACTTGCAAGTTATGTGTGTCCTCCACCCTAACATTGAGCTTTATAATATATTAAATAGTGTAATGTTCAAATAATGTTTATGAGCAACGTGTTTCTTTCAGACTGACATTATCGTGAAATCCACATCTGTTGCGATGAAGCTCGACAATGGAGGCGCAGCATCTGCTGCTCATCGCAAAGCTGGGCCTTCACTCCAGGATGAACTTCACAGAAAAAAAATTCACCTTGGTCATGGATCCATCATAAGCATTGACAACGCACAATCTCATCTCTCTTACAAGAAAGTATACCAGTATTGCTGTGCAACCTGATGAAAAAAACAAATCGGTAAGTGGCCTTGTTGTCTGCTAAATTTAGGAAGACAAAAGTAACATTTTAAGTGTCTGCATGCTCACTTGAGCATTGGGTTGTGCCCTAAGCCAGTCAGAGATTCTGCATTCTCGCGGTTGTATGCGACTGTAGTTTACCAATTTTATACTGTACCATGTTGCTTTTCATACAGCCACATGGATCTCTGCTTGATCTCTAAAGTAACGGCATAAATTGGTTGATTTCCACCAAGGCTGCTCAATCCTGTTCAAATGTCTCAGAGATCAAACATTTGCTGAATTTGATCCAACCAATCATGAGCATGTGGGCCGGATGAATGTCATGTTGTGACAATTGGCACATTTCACTGCGAAGAGACCAGGTGGGAAACAACATGCCCAGCCGGTTAATATATGTGCATAAATAATGGCTTTTAAACTCCACCACTATTATACAAAATCACGTATTTATAACAAATGGATGCTAATGGTGCCTTAGTCTTGTTTTATGAGATGCACCATTTTCATTCTAGTATTGTTATTGTCTACTTTATTTTGTCTATGTATATCTAATTTGTTGACACTGGCCTGTCTGTATGTCTGCATGTCTGCCGTTACCTGTTCCTCTGCTCTGACTGTGTATGCTGTGCACACGCACCGTACGTATGTACTGTGCCATGCTATATTTTATCTTGCTTTCTTCCCTCTTACGGTGGAGTGATCAATCAGCATGGCTGGATTTCCAAGATGTGAATTGTGATTAAGCTGAAATTGATGCTCTACTCAGGGAATTACCATTTTCATGGAGCAATACATTTTGAGTGCTTGAAAAGATATGTCAGTCTCACTTGGGAATTGTTCTTCATCAGAACACACCACTTGTCAAGCCGCCGGCATCCTGTGAATCATTTACTACTATATTTACCCCAAGAGTGTCAGTGTGTAACGTGCGTGACGTAACTCCACGTCGACCAGCCCCCCTCATTAATAATCATGAACAGGTGACGTCCTCGACATGGACCGGCCCCTCATTAATAATCATGAGTGGATGACGTCACTCCGCATGCAGAACACCCCCCCCCCCCTCATTAATAATCATGAGCAGGTGACGTCACTCCACAGCGAACAGCTCCCCTCATTAATAAGCATTAACAGGTGACTTCCTCCAAATGTACACCCCCACCATTACTAATTAACGGGAGACGTCACTCCTCCCCCCCTCCTCAGGGTCAACTGACAGCCCTCACTACAAAGGCAGAGCCCTCGCGTCACGCGATCTCCGTAATGCTATTGAGACATCGAAGTAAAAAGGACGTCGTGATGAACACGGGATTATAACCTTTAAATGAAATAGGTCTGTGTCACCGCGGCCTTACAAATTGCACACGAATTGATGCAATGAATATCACGTCGCGGTCTGCTTTTCGCTTCCAAGTTTCAGATCTACTGCAATACACCTGTCCTTGGACGGGCAAAAGGCTAGTAAGAAATGTTCTTCCAGCCTCTGCTATAGGTTTCAAACAACTCACATCAATGTGTACGAAAAGCACTTAGCCGTGTGCATTATGCGAAAAACATAAATAGTTCCTGAAGAACCGCATTTGGTACTCTAAATGTTGGGCCCGATGTCACTGTTCTTGTTCTGTGCTAATGCACCATGGTTCTACCTTGTAAACTAGCTTGTTAACTGGCTAAATGGGACTTTGCGTGTAACCGATAAACATTGATAAAATAATTGTAACTACCTTTCATGTGTAAGGACAGTAGGGCTCCCCGTGGCTACTAATTAACGTGCCGGGAACAGGCAGGGTCACGTAAGGGTAATGTGGGATCCTAAGTGGTCGTTAATAGTAATTGAGACAGACAGACAGGGCCAGGTGCGGTGAGAGAGTGTTGGGAAAAGAGGCGAGGCCAGGTCGTGAGGGGGATAAAAGCCTGCGTGGAAAAGGGCTCTGGGCTGCTGTTGTGGGGGAACCAAGGAGCTGTCGTCTTCATCATCTTGGATTAGGCACCTTGTAGTTTTGGAAGGCTTGAGTTTTATTGTCTCCGTGACTGCTACGCGTCCGCTCCTGTGTAGCCAGCCAACTACACAGGGAGTGTCGCGTAGAGTCACGGAAGTTACCCAGGTGTAGATACTATGGGGACCTCATTTGCCAGTAAAAATATGATAATTGGTTCTTTACCCTTCTATCTGGCAACAAAACTGACACCTTTTTGCAAGGAGTCATGTTTGCATAGACCGCAATACCTGCAGTCATAATACAAACAAAAGAACATAACTCTGATAATGTGCACTGTCCTTGAAGTTGATTGGTCCACACCCGAGACAGCTTTCCTTCGAGCCTAGTCTCATAAAAGCTGTCTCGGGTGTGGACCAATCAACTTCAAGGACAGTGCACATTATCAGAGTTATGTTCTTTTGTTTGTATTATGACTGCAGGTATTGCGGTCTATGCAAACATGACTCCTTGCAAAAAGGTGTCAGTTTTGTTGCCAGATAGAAGGGTAAAGAACCAATTATCAGGTGTATATACTCACGGTTACTCGTTAAGTTATCAGTGAGTCGGTGGACTTAATTCACAATAAATATACATATAACTGAACAAGACAGTGTATCTGAGAGCTACATTACACATGCAGCAGTGATACACTTTTACACGTTGGGGCCCATTAGCTTGGCTAATACCAACAATCAAATATTATCAATGATGAAAAAAACCCATCGTAACAGAAAATCGCTGCTGGTAGGAAAACCGCAAGTTCCAAGCGATGCACAGAAACGTACAAAAATCTGAGCATTGTTTTTTTTTTAAACATGTTTTATTAGAACGCACTGATTTTTCTGTTGTGATGGGTTTCTCGTTATTTACAGATTCGATTATAGTCGGCCTCTTCCAGCAGATCTCTGGCAAGTTTCAATGTTCTCTACCAATATGGGAATTGTACCTGTTGTTTTGATTTGTATACATGATTTGTGAACACATGTTGAAATGACATGGGACCTTGAAAAAGAATAGGTTTTACCCTTTATGGTAATAAAATAGATGTTAAGACGTTCAAACACCAAATAGATACCTTTTTCAAGGAATCACGTCTGCACTAACCACATGTACTTGTGGTAAAACATGCAAACAAACAGTGTTCTGATAATGCATGCAATGTTTTTGAAACTGGTTGGCCTACACCAGAGACAGCCTTCCTTATGCCCTTGTCTCACCAATGTCAGACCAGAGAACGCGAAAAGGCAAACAGTACAGTACAATCTTGATTTGAAGCTTTCATGACTGCAGGAATCCATACTCCTTGGTTCTTTAGGTAAAGTCACGTAGTTAGAAATACAATAAATTAAAACAAATCACGACGTTTCGATCGCCTGATGACGACCGCTTGTGTCCCGATCGAAACGTCGTGATTTATTTTATTTCTAACTACGTGACTTTACCGAAAGAACCAAAGAGTATAGTACAATGCAAGGAACAGAGCATTTATAGCTCGGGTTTAGTAGTTTTATCTATGGGACCTTTTTGATACTGGAAAAAAGATCCCATAGATATATACACTACGTATATGAATAAAGTTGCATGCATGCCTATAAGGATTATCTGCTTTACAATCCGGCCAGATTGTTCAATGGGTTGCTCAAAACAAGGCGGTTAAAGCCAGCGATGAGAGGATATTTGCTTTTTCACTTGGGCAGTGGCATCGTTGCGTTTGACGCTGCGAGGTGACTAAGTTATGCGTTTTGCTATCTCGTGGCATCACACGTTGCCGACGTTGGACATTGTGCACCGTATAACATCTAGTGTGGTTTTGAAGGTGGCGTTAATATCGATAATTAAATGCTTCCGAGGACAAAAGCACATGTGCAATCCTTACAAAATGTATGTACTGTATTTGTCTTGTTCTTCTCGTTTTATGAATTATGCTTTGGTTTATATTTTAGCTTTCAGTGTGGATCTTTAATTGTTTACAGGCCTTATCTGATAAAGTAAACAATGCTCACTCAATAACGATGTTTTTGCATGTTACTATTACATCATTGCACATTACAGCAGTCTGTGCACAACATTGTATTGGACTGCCTGAAGAAAGCCCATAAAGCCAAAGAGAGATCCATCTCCTTCACAGCCCTGGGCACTGGGAATTTAAACTGCCCACCACAGCAGGCTGCTCGTGCCATGATGTCAGCTGCCATCCAGTTCAGCAACCAGCATAAAGATGACACTCTTGAGCTCATTCAGTTTGTGATCTTAAGGTCAAAACCAGACATATATAAAGTAAGTGTACATTGCAATCCAGGTGTACACCACATTTTATGCCGTTGTCTTAAAAATCATACTCGTGCTGAGTTTGTGAAAGTAAAAAAATCCAAAGTTTGGACAGTCCTAAGTTCGTGGTAGAAGTTCCAAATTGGTATTGTCAGGACTCGTCTTTGTGGGACGATCACTTGATTCCCCCTAAAAAGGTGATCATCTACGCAAAGAAATAACATAGTTGTATTATACAGTGCACTATTATTTAATAACAGGTTTTTTTTTGTAACTCAGTAACACTTTTTTATGATTCTGCTATAACAGGACATACAATGTTTCATAAAGTACTCTGAAGTTAAATAGTATTGCAATGGAAAGCTGTGTTATAAAAAATGCATTATAATGTCACATTTCTCTAATTTGCGATTATGATTATGAAAAGTCAATAATTTTTACACACCAGAGATATGGTCGACAGTAAATGGTGGTGGGTTTTAATGACACATTTATATATTTACTCGATCTAACCCAAAAAACCTCTTATGGATGATATTGGTCGTGAAAGCCCTCGTGTTAAACAGTAAATGCTAATTTACTGCATCTCTATAAAAGGGCATATCCACAGGTAAAAAAACTGTGTTTTTACCTTAATTTTCCAAATGCCAAAATCGTTTGTGCTTTACATACACATTGAACATTTACCTGCCATTTTAAAAAAGAACCTGCTGCAGAGCCATTCATAAGTGAGCATTTTACTGTTACAGGCTTTTCAAAACGAAATATCGAGTGTCATATCGAAGATTTACTCCGAAGCCGCAGCGCCCAGCCGTAAGCAGGAAGAAAGGTTTCAAACTGGCGCAGGTACAACGTTAACGTGTTCTCTCGTGATTTTGGCACCTGCATGCATTCATTACAACAAAATCTAGTGACCATGTTTGCTTTTTATTTTAAAATATTAAGTCTCGGGGTCTAATTTTATCATCATGTGCATTTCAAGTAATTATTAAAGTTAAAAGGGAGTCTGTAGAAATGTTAAAATATTACAATTTTTCTACGTTGCAGAGCATAAGAAACTATTTAAAATACAGGGAATTACTGTTGAGCTGTGCAGTGGTGATATCACTCAAGAGAAGACAGACGCCATTGTCAACTCCACAGACGCTCGGATGACAATGCCCTCAGGTAACCCCGTGCCACACCAACAACAAAACAAATACTGCATTTGGAAGGATATATTTCAATAAAATGTACATGAAATAAAGAGTCTATTCGAACATTCAAAATGAAAGTTTCCTTTAAAGCCAACAATTGCGAGCCACTGAGATGCAATGGTTTAGTGGGACACTTTCACGGCAACAACTTTTGTACTCACACTTGGGTGTGCTAACAATGATGGATTTTTAGATAAAGTGAAGCTCTGCTTAATTGCTTGCAGATACAAGTAAAATTCCCTGGAGTACATGGTACAGTAGAAATCTATTGCTTCCCATTGAGGCATTCTGGTTTTACAAATGTTAAAAACCATGCGGTGGGTGGCTCTTTTATTCTTCATTACACATTGTAAAGAAACATTATTTGCAAATTTGCCATTGAAGATTAATACTGTTTTTATGGAAACTTTATATTCCGGGTAGGGAATTTTTTCCTGAATTTTAAACACCTTTGGAGGGCCGCACATTAACACGCACACAAAAATGTGAAACTGTTGGCAGGTCTAAAATCGAGCCCTCTGGTACTCGATGAGTGCGGCGAAGGTGCTGTGAGGCTTGGACATTGTTTGCAGGCTCGTTAGGAGTGGTAGGCCTTGTGGCCACGGGCTCCCCAAACCCCACTTGAGATCATTGTAGAGTCTATACAAGTAAACCCGTAAAAACAAAGTTTTTCACTCTAAATCCTTTATATGCGTGGCGGCTAGAGTTCTCTCGTCCTCTGGCTTGAGATGGCTGCAATCTATGGGTCAGATGATTGTCTGCCAGTATTAAGCAATTGGTAATTAAATATTTAATTTGTTTTCCCTAAACAGTGTAAAATTTTGGAAAAAAATTTTCACGAAAATTAATTGTCACACACAACGAGTCTGTGTGGAAAATGTCAGCTCGATTGGATCACGGGAAGTCGGTTAAAAAACGAGCGAAAGATTTGCACGGTCCTAAGCAAGCAAGCGAACTTAATATAAAGGATTTAAAAATATATTCGCCTGTGGAGGACGCGGGGATTGATCCCGCGACCTTTGGCATGGGAAACGAGGGCGCTACCAACTGCGCTACTCCACCACGGCCTGTGGAGGGGTTACGCTCTGGGCTCTTACACTCTGACGTTCAGCCAAAGCCATGAATGCGTTCTATTTGAATATATGTAAAATAAAAAAAATTTGCCTAAAAAGTGTAAAATTTTGGGAATTTTTTTTCACGAACAATAATTGTCTGGCACAACGAGTCTGTGTGGAAAATGTCAGCTCGATTGGATCACGGGAAGTGGGTTAAAAAACGACCGAAAGATTTGCACGGTCCTAAGCAAGCAAGCAAGCACGCGAACTTAATATTAAGGATTTAAAAATAGTACTGTACACTAGAGTATTTGTGTCAAATACATGTAGGAAATAAACATTTCTGGAATGCTGGTCCCTGATTGCTAATACATATAATTTGCCCAAGCCGACTTGCTCTGCAGGGAATTTACATTGATTTATGTGCAATATTTTTGATTTAACGTGCAACAGTTTTTTTCTACGATTTATATTTGCTTCATTGCTGTACTTAATTTAATTGTTTGGGGATTTTTTTATTTTGCAAATTAAGCTATTCTGATGTCTTGAGATTTCACTCGGTTAATTTATATGAACTCGACTTGTTTCACCCTGGTCTGTGCCGCAGTGTTGCCCCCTCGCTTCCCCATCAATCTCCTTCTACGCTAATATAAAAGATATACTGTTAGTTTTGTATAAGTGTCTTGAGATGCATAACTTGAATTTGTTGATTGTGTTACCATTCCAGGAATTTCCAATGCTATCCTTAAGGCTGCTGGACAAACGATTAAAGATGAATTCTTAAAAGGTAATTATTGTGTTCTTCGTGCATTTCCATTTGTTTGCTCATTAGTTGCTAATTATTCTCTTATAGCTTACATTTCTCTGGTCAAGAGTAGTTAATCAATATTCTTCTTTTAGATAAATATATTTTATTGGATTACATTTTTACGTGGCACTTTGTGACATTTCTTATTCGATCTGTTCTAATGTGTGTTCTTTCCCCATTGCAGAAGATCCCTCGTATGGAGACATTGTTGTGACCAAAGCAGGCCGTTTGAAATGCAAACATATTGTGCACATTGCAGGACTTCAGGATAATATTGAAAAAACATGTGAAGAAATACTACTTGAATGCCATCGGAGAAAAATTAAATCGGTGTCTTTTCCAGCTGTTGGTACAGGTACATATATTTTTTTATTAATACATTTTGTTGCCACTTAAGAATGGTGATGAAGCTTCTTCTCCAGAAGTTGTTCATAGAGAAACTCACCCGTTCCATTTGTTAAGGGCCAACATCATATATAAGCATTGCGCCATACACTCAATCGAGTATGGATTACGAAAATATTTGTGTAACTATGGACAAAACTCTTCAAACGTGATGACAATGACTACCCATCAAAGAATAAAGTGACTGGAGGAATTTAACTAAGATTATGTAGATTGTATATGAAGTGTACTGAATTCTTGGCCAATGACTAAGACCGACTAAACCAACGTTTTATAAATTTCGATTTAAAGCTTTCGTGACTGCAGGGATTCATCTTCTTGGTTCTTTCGGTAAAGTCACGTAGAAGGCAAATAATACAATAATAAAAATAAAACATAATAAAATATACAATTCTCACGACGTTTCGGCCACAGACCTGTTCTTCACCTGAGGACGGCTGCTTGCGTTGTGGCCGAAATGTCATGAGAATTGTATATTTTATTGTTTTATTTTGTATTATTTTATTATTTCCCTTCTACGTTACTTTACCGAAAGAATCAACGTTTTATAATTAAGAGTGGCTTATATTTTTACTCATCTAATTGACTAAACTAAGAAAATAACTGAGATGAAATTTACAGGCTAAGACTTTACTAAAATGGCGTGGGTTGTCAACGACTACACAAAGACTGACTAAAATGCTGAATAAATAAAGAGTTAGAGACATTTTTAGTTGCAGTAAATCAATATTAGTGTTCAAATGATATCAACACTTGAAACATAAATATCAAATGTCAATTCAACGGCCTACTGTCCATGTTGTTGCATCAGGTGTAGGGAACAAAAGCCATCAACAAGTCGCTGTCAACATGGTGAATGGAATTCACTTGTTTGCAGGAAGTTGCACAAGGCCAACTGTGACGAACATCCGTTTTGTATTCATTAATAAGGAGCTTCTGAACATATTCCAAGACGTCTTGAATGGAAAGTTTTAGTTTCAAACATCCCAGTTCTTTGCACCTAACACTTATGTAGTTGTGTTGTTTGCAGCCTTAGATTGAAAATAATATAAAATAACTTTGTTCCCTTTGGGGTTTTATTCACGTATTTGCATACCTATATATAATGAACATATGGTGATATTTGCTTTTAATGGTTTGTAAAGTAAAGGGGTCAGCAACGAAAATTACAATGAGCCATTGTTTTTTCCAAGTCGGTAAACAAATCTGAATATTTCAAGTGCCCCAATGCATGTTTAGACGAGACTGTGGTCCTGTATCGATAGCATCACAAAGCAATCCTTAAAGAGCCAATTGGTAATCATTAAAAGAGTGCGATTGAGAAGACATGCTGGAATTTGAAAGCCGCTGCATCATGGGTACGTTGGAGCTGCGGGTAATGTGATAAGCAATGCCAGTCTTGTGCCTGCAAAAAAAATGCCCATTGTTTATCGGGAGAGCGAAGATGTGTGGACTGTAAAGTTGGCTCCCGGGGAAGTTAGGAATTGGATAAACGAGCCATCACCGGCAATCAAATTGAACTCTTCCAACCAGACGGCAATGCCCAGCCAATGTTTATCAGAAAACGTGGTCGCATCACTGGCCTCGTAAATAATTACAGCATAACCAGATCAAAGCCCACGCCTCATAAATTTACATGAAATTCGAATTTATAAACTGCCGTTATTCCCCCAAAGTAAACATAAATCAATCCAAAATAATTTTCACATCCCTTCCCCCAAATTCCAAAGGTCTATATCCCCCTTTGTGAAGTGAGATGCAATCTGTTAATACATTAAATGTTTTTGAATCCTGCGTGTGTGTATTTCCATTATCGCCTTAACATGAAGAAGTAATGCGTGCAAGTAAACTGGTGCAGATGTCGAGTTTTATGTTCTGAAGAGCCCCAGGGAGATTCATTAGAGGGAATGGGGAGTGGGAAGCATGGAGAGGGAGGAGGTTATGGTTTGTAGCACTGTTGGCTCGAGAATCTGTGGAGCTGATGGATTAGTGAACTCGAGGTCAATGGTTTATTAATCCAGCAACCCAACCACAGCAGTGCAAAAGTTTAATGGTGCACCGTAATCACCTGTGCAACCAAGAAAGGTGCAAGAGCAGTGCTTGGTGTAAATCACAGGGAGGAGAAACTGCATCACTCAAAATCGTTCACACCTTGGTGATGACATCCATCAAATACAATACTATCCGGTCTGCCGCTGCTGTATATGCTCGTACGATGTTTATTCATGATAATGCAGTTTAACTTGTTTAAGCAACAAACTTTCAAATAAACATTTGCTCTTTAAGCTGTGATTCTTAATGTTTAATGCCTGGCAACCACATACAGTTCATATAATGTACAAGCGAATGCAGCCATATAATACCTTAACGATGGAAACACAGGGAGAGCTAACAGTGTTCCAAAAGCCGACAGACATTCATATTTTGTCACTTTCACCCTTACAAATAAAAGGCATATTTTACTTGACAGGCATCACAGCAATAGTTTGACGTGTCGACGCATTTTGTATTTTGAAAGTATAACCATCACTGAAGACAAAACATGGTCAATATCTTTGAAAGTAAACATTTTATATCATTACAATAAAACGAAATCACACTTAAAAAAACAACAATTTATACATTACGATGTGATGATGTAAAAAAGGATTCACATTACACCTCCCAGTCCATCAAAATCATGAAAATGTTTAGGCTGCAATTAGGACGCCAACATTAACTGGAGTAACATCGATTTACAAAGCCTCCTATATGTCATTACCTGAACTGGTAAGAAGATCTGTCGAGAAGCAAAAAGTAGATCTCATTGAAATAAATTTGTGACAATTGCCTGCCGTACATAGTTTTTAGACGTTTATATTAGATTTAAGATCAGCAATTGCCTACTCGGTTATGTGACTTGCAGCTATATTGTCTGTTACAGGATGAGCAATACACGTAAATGTCTTATTTTCTTATAATCGTAAAAAAAAAAGATTATACACAATGGATTAACTTTGAGCAAATGTATTACGCTTTCATCACTCCGCACTGACCAGCGTGGTGAAGCATGGTTAAACAATAAGCCATATTAAACTGCATGGCATGGAGGCCACAATCCATCAGTGTATTGACAAATGGGCTGTACATGTGCTGTACGTAAAAAAAAGAAAATTATCAATCCGACACATGACCTGACATATTTGATGACCATTCCCGTGTACTTTCACCAATACGGGGCTTATTCTCAGAATGTCTACCAGGGACCCCAAACCTCCCTGGACCCCAAACCTCCCTGGACCCCACTCTCACACCGAGTGTGGAGGAAGGAGGGGGGCAGCAAAATAATTTCCAGAGCTCAACCCCAGATAGCTCTGGGTGGAGTTAAGCCCAGCCCACTAGGTTATATTCAAGCTTCGTTGAAGTCGTAGGTTTGCCGAGCTCATGCGAGAGAAGACAACGATACGGGTGATGGGCAGGCAAGCAACACTGTTTGCATGGAATTGTAGCCCAAGTGTAACTTCATGTTCCGGAAGGTCATAGTTAATGCACGCGCTGTTGTAAAACCACACGGTATTTACCAAGATGCGTTTAACTGATCATCATTACCTAGGATTAAATGTATTTTATTTATGGACATTGAAGTGTTTGAAAACACCTAAGATTACATTAATTCATACGTGGATTTTGTTAAACGTCATATTTTTCTACAATTTGCGAAATACTGTATGTGAGCACTTATTTAATTCCACCTCATGTATTTTATTTTACAGCCTCATGCCGAGCTTGCTATCATAGTAAATGAATACCCTTTCGCAGAGATTTTTGCTTTCAGAATTTCTTTATGTATATCCACAAAAAACAAAGACCGACAGTTGTTTTTATTCCCACGATCGAGTTGTCAATTCCTAACTTATGGGTATAGCGATGGGCACACGCACAACATGGGCTACTCTTGCGAATTGCATCATGGGAGGTGGTGCCACAATCCACTGCCATGCTGCAGGCATCAAATAACCCTTCTTGGTTCTTTCGGTAAAGTCACGTAGAATGGAAATAATAAAAATAAAACATTATAAAACAATTCACGACGTTTCGGCCACAACAGAGTCTTCTGGACAGACCTGTTCTTCACCTGAGGACGGCTGCTTGCGTTGTGGCCGAAACGTCGTAAGAATTGTTTTATTATGTTTTATTTTTATTATTTTATTATTTCCATTCTACGTGACTTTACCAAAAGAACCAAGAAGATCAAATAACCCTTTTGCACTGGCACATCTGAGCCGCACCAACATGGGACCCTCACGCTATGGACGGGTTTCCACTGGCTATTTGTATATGCCGAAACTGAAACAAAACCAAGATACCCTCCTGGCCTCAAGACGCCAGAATATCGGCAAAGGGCCAAGCAGAGACAGGGGTGGGGTTAATTACGATTGCCCGTGACGTCTGTACGCCGTGAGGACACAGCATCACGTCACCTATATAGGTCTTGACTCATCTTCTTGGCTCTTTTGGTAAAGTCACGTAGAAGGGAAATAATAAAATAATAAAAATAAAACATAATAAAACATTTTTTTTATAATAAAAAGAAAACATAAAACAAATTTTGTTACGTTTAAATTTTATTATTTTATTATTTCCCTTCTACGTGACTTTACCGAAAGAACCAAGAAGATGAATCCCTGCAGTCACGAAAGCTTTAAATCGAAAGGTCTTGACTCGTTCATTGCGTGTGTAATGTCAGTGTACTGTGAGGAAACATTGTCAATGCGTAATCTACACGCGTGACTTCCAGTAGCACCACTCTGCTTATGCAGTGGAGAAACCAGCTGGCACCTCCCCACAGCATTTGATGAGCTGGCTTGGTATGGCACAACCCTGGCACGGCTCAGTGACACAGTGAAAAAGAGCTAAAACTGTCATCTGGTTCAGTGGTGTGCATCACTACGATGCCATCCAACCCTCTAGTGTCAGAGACCATTTGTGATTAAATGCCAGACCGACACAAAATTCGCCTAAACTGCACTTTTTCCCCCGTTGGCCCTTGAGGCATATATGAAACATAGGCTCATTTTAGCAATTAGAGGAATAATATTGTCTTTTTTTGTATTCAGCCGAAATATCCAGCTGACGGGATCATATGTGGCTAGCAAGAATGGCGAGGTGGTGGGGGGGATGTCAGCAAAATGTGTAAAGCACAGCGCTCTCTGGCCCACAAGAGCGTCACGCAGACAGTGATTAGAAGAGGCCCTTGGCTTTCTTCAGGTTTTGTTGCTTCCAAACGGGCATCGCTACGAACTCGCCCCGCGTGATGCCCAGCACTCGCACAAATGCATCTTCCGACAGATATTTCTGTATCGCAAGGGGAGGGTAGACGGACATTCGACAGATTACAGTTGCACTTTTGCAAATGGAAGTGAGAAGTCTACAGTTAGGGTTGCCACCTGCCCATAAGTTAGTGTAAACGATAAAGTTATAGCCCTGCAAGTACCTGCTCATGCCACTGCTGTTGGAAGGGCCGCCACTAGAGGGAGAGCTCAGAATAGGCCCTGTAGCAGGTATTTGACCTACTCTTAAATGCTGGCCAGACATCTTGGAACAGGTAGGCGTACTCATACTTTACGCCAGCGCACGCGACGTGTCAATCGACTAACTGTGGTGCACCCATTCATACTGCTGAAAGTGGACAGAGGCAGGGGGGGGATTGAAGAAATATGCCTGATCGTTTCACCGGGAGATGGAATCGAACAGGCAGCGTGTGAATTGCATGTCCAGTGTGCTAACCATTACACTACAGCAGCATCTAAACCATTTCAGATGGCTTTCCTCCTCAGCACTGTTTTGACTCTGATCGGATATATCACGTTTTGGCACCACTCTGAGCTGGCTAAACTTAATTGTATCGTTTGAAATGTCGAAAACGAGATATAATATTAAGATGAATTAACTATTGAAAATATTATTAAAAAAATAATCGTGTAAAGAAATTGGTAACATTAAAGATTTACAGGGTAGAGCGGTGGCAGCGTGGCTAGTGGACCTATGCTCTGAACCTGGTGACAACATACCTGGCCATGGCAAACATCGGTGGTGTGGATACCTGAACCGGTTCTGCCCACCCCACCCAGACTCCAACCATGCATAGAGAAGTACATTCAAAAACTCCTACAGACAACGCAGCGCGAGGAGGCCTTCATCCAGCAGTGGATTTATGAAGGTCTGTACGTACAAAGTTTTGTCACCTTAGGTGGTACCAATTTCTGCTCTGGCCTATGACATCACAAACCTCATGACTATAAAGTCACACACTTGGATTTAGTGCCAATATATATTGTGTTGATAGTATTCACTGCCGAGTTCCTGCATCTGGCGGTGAAGCCATTCCTACAGTTGTGTCCACAATGTGTGCCACTTGCTGCAGTGATAGTGAGTAGATTACAATTGTAATTTTGTCTTTGATCACTTAAATTAAAATTACATTATGATTGCAATGTTCCTGCATTTGCACTTGACTTTTAGGACTGCAGCACTCTGATAAATCCTATAGTTAACTTGGTATTTAAATACATAGAGTCACTGTGTGTGTTATTTCCAGTTATGTGCCAATATTAAAATAGTTTTCACTTTTGACTTCCGATTTAGCTTTGCAAATCGTACTTCACATTTAAAAGTCGAACTAAAATAACCATTGCCTGACTGGCTGCCCCGCCCATGCTGTTTACGCTGCACAAGATCTCCTCCCCCCAACTCTTGTCCCCAGCCCACTCACTTTGGAAACCCTTATAAGCAGTTGCATTTGGAGGCTTGCCCTCTTTTCTCTCCACCTGATGAAGACCGCTTGTGTTGCAATCGAAAGGTCGTAGGTTTTTTGCTTTTATTTCATTTAGCATTTTAATTTTTTCAATTTTTTTTTTATTTTCCATCTACATGACTTTACCGTAAGAACCAAGCATATCAAAAAACCAGGGTAAATAACAATGGAGCAAATGAAATCAGCCATGGGTTGTGGTAAAACAGGGCCCCGGGAACCCCATCAAACTTAAATTTGGCCGATCCCAGGTCTGGTAGAGTGAGGGTCCTATTTTAGAGGCTGCCACCACCTCGGCCAGGCATCCGCACCCAAGCCCTGGCCCCACCAGCCCAGACGCACCTCTTTGCAGGCCGGGTCAACACCCTCGGGCAGCTCCTCCGTCGTTTTGTTGACGAGGTCCTCGGCCGGGAAAGTGGGCACGGGCCCCTCGTTGCTGCCCTGCTTCTCATCGTTGAGGCTCTGGAAAATAAAGTATGCGACGGCCATTGTGCAATAATCCTGAGCCGATAATTGTACTTGTGAAAAGTTGGTCATTATTCATGTGTTGGTTTATTTATTATTATTGGTGTTTAACGATTGGGAATGTGGGAAATCGGGAACTATTCATCATTATTTTTCTTTTGCGAAGAGATGTCATGTACATGTGCAGCCCTTTTTGCCAATCTACAGCCAGATGAGGGCGTGCGAGTTCGTGAAGATGAAGAGCAAAGATGTGGGCGCTTCTAAGCACAGGATATTGGATTTTGCTGCACTGCCCTCTACTGACAACTGCGTACACCAGTTTAACACGTTGGAGGCTTTCACGACCAATATCATCCACAACAGGTTTTTTTGGGGGGATAGATCACGTAAATATAAAATGTGTCGTTAAACCCGCCACTACCCGACACAGCCAACTAGTAAGGTTTGTCACCTAAACAGAACATGCCAATTCGTCACTAGTACAGCACACGGGTGTTTTGGAGAGCAAAGCCACAACATTTCGACAGTAATTACAACTAGCTTCATCAGGCAACAGCCAGATTTGTGGATAAATCCTCCTTTTTCATTCCTTAAATAGAGGGGTAGATGTGAAGACAACACTTGTGTGCTCTTCTTGCGCCAAGTGGTGGGGGGGGGGGGGGGATTAATGCATGCATATAAATGACTACGGGTATCCATTCCCATTTGGGTTTTTTATATGGTAATCAACGCACATTATGCATATGCATTGTACAAGCCCATTGTTCTTGTACCTCCTGTCGATTGTGTGTTCTAAAACAGGCGTACTGTAATCCATATACACCCATCCAAGCACTTACCCAGGCACAAGCTTAGCTTCCGAAATGACAAGATTGGGCGCATTCTGGATATGGTGATAGGCAAGTCACAGAAGTGTGTAATATTTTCTTAATACCGTGTACTAGAGATGAGACCTCTGCTATGCAGTGTGAAAGAAATGTTATCTTACATGATGATGCATTTACGGATGCTCCATTTATTTTAATGACCCTCTCCCCATGACTGACAGAGTTGATTGGCAAAGGGAGCTGTAAATTATAACGTTATTATATTAGCTGCTATTACAGTATAGACATGTGCACTTTCCCATGCTCAATTGAGCTTCGGCACAACGCAACAATCTTCCTTCGTGCGGTCACAATAATGAAGCCCCCAATCGGTTTGTGTCCATCTGCAATGCACAACAGCTGTGAAGAAGTGGTTGCGAGTTATGTCAGAATTAAGGAGTTCACACTGCAGACGGCTGCAGTTGTACTGGGTTTGAAGAGAACGAGAGGACGTACAGACGTGATGGTTTTAATGGCGGCGGCGTCTCCAAACTGGGCCTTGAGTTCCTCGTAGGATTTCCCACTCTGCGGACCCCACGCGGGACGACACAGAAAACAGAGTTAAGAAGCGCCAACTAGCAGTGTTCAGCATCGCCGCCACCTTACACAACACAACCCGTTCAACGCGTCACTACGTGCACTGCTCTCTACTGATCTTCAGAGAAAGACAGTGCGCACTCCCTCTCCACCTCCGCAACACCAACACTCTTCTGCAGGGTTCTTAGGCCATGGACTACGGAAGGATGTTTAAGGTAGCTTCTTCCTTGCTATCCTCTGCAGGAGGATGCGATTTGAAAGTCACACCCTGGACAAAACGTGGACGTCAAAACTAAATTCGCAGAGGCAAGCCTGCGGCAAGTAGGAGCCACTTACGCTCCACTTGTGCGCGTCCCATGCCAGGAACCAGCCCGTGAAGGTGGGGGGCTCGAACCCCTGCTTCACGATGATGATGGACGTGTCGGGGTCACGGGCCCCAGGGTGCGTCCGCAGGTATTCCGCCGCAGTCGTCATCGACTCCTTCTTCTCTGCATCGCTCGCGCCTTGTCCCACCCACAGGAAGACCTGCAAGCAGCCGACCGGGCAAGCGGTCCAACATGGCATCTTGTTCACGGCGGGAGATTGTTCACCAAGTAACAATTGTCACATTTCGTAGTATGTCCCATCATCTGTGCAACCTAACTTTGCCCAGTGAAATTTCATGATAAAATATATTAAAACGCAACACACACTACGTTTGCATACTAGTTTCACGATTACATTATTCTAAAAGGCGAGCCTCTGCTTTATTGTTAGTGCTCGACAGACACTGCCTTCTTAATCCACAACGGTAACCTGAGAAGCCAGACAGACAATGTGGGCCTCACCTGGTCCCAAGTGTCGAGCAGCATAACGTCATCCTCATCCAGGTCGTCCTGCGAGAACTCACTTATCTCTGTCACCACGAAGCGCCCCGTCTGTGTGGAGCACTCAAAGAGCCGCGGCTGCACTTCCATCTCCTCCACCTGCATCCTGAATGGGAGTGCACCACGTAGTAATAATGATAATAATGATAATTATACTCCTAATAATACAGGCAGCTGTGCATCCCCAAATCACTTGCTCGTGCCAATGCTGGTGGAAGGGCCTGCACGAGAGGGAGCTCTAGAGAGCTTCTCTAGGGGGTATTTGGCCTACTCCTCCACGCTGGCCAGACATCTTGGAAGAGTACTCACATTTTTTTCCAACCACTTGCAACCTGCCGATCGACTGACTGGTGTCCTCATTAATACTGCTGGGTGAAGACAAAGGTGGGGGGGTGGACGATTTAAGGAAGTTGTCCCATTGTCTTAATTGTCTCATCGAGTGATCGCATCCAGACGGTGATCCCTCTGACCTGCAAGTCCAGTGTACTAACCATTACCGCACAGCGGCATCCCACTTTTAATCACAAATCCTTTTATTTACCCAGGAAAGCCCTACCGATTCCTAAGTTTATTTAACGAGGAGAATTCCACGTTAGAATGTTTGGCCAATTCCAAACTGGAATACCCTGAGAAATCCCAAGCATACAAGGGGATAGCCATTGTCTGTATGTATGTATGTTGAACTTCTTTGACACCACATGTAGCCAACTCTGCACATCAAAGTTGGAGAGGGGGGACATCAAACTAAACACAAGAAGCAAAACACATTCAAGCTCCACACAGATTAAATAATCCATCGCTGTTCTGCCATCTCCTGGTCACCGTCCACCAGACTCTCAGCTCATTCTCGAGCCCAGTTAAGGACTCAAGATGCACTCATTGAGAATGGTAGAGTGAGCCCTCAAACCTTCCGCATAAGCTCGATAGGGCATACAAATTACCATCACCATCACCACCACAATTACAACCATCACTAACAACACTATCACCACCAGCAGTATCATCCGTACCACCATCAACAACACCACATCATAGTTGCCTCAAGATGTATCTGACCTTTCGCAGAAACCAGACATTTTTCTTTGAAAGAGAAAGATCCTGTTTGTAACATGTTGTAACAAGAATGAGAAGTTGACAAATTGTTGAAGCAAATCTGCAAAGTGAGGATTGCACAAATGTGTCTCGAGCTATCCCAGCCTGCACTTTCATCCACAGTTCACTGACAAAAAGCCTATTCCACAGATGGGGAAGTGCGTGCCTGCCATGTTAATCACAGACAGCACCCTAGGAAATTGCTCATCTCAATTTAATCTCTAACAAAACGAAGAGGATGGAGAGGGTGAGAATGCTCTGCAAGCAGCCGTCTGGATGGTAGCCAAAACAGGAAAAATATATATATGGGCAAGGCAGATGCAATTTATTTTCATTTTGTCTTGCTTGTACATAGAGCAGTGCTCTCTTGGCATGCCTTAAGCAGGACACACACAGCATGGATATACAAAGTGACAGATATACTGCAAATTAATGCTACAAAAACACATTTAAGTGATTTATAGACAATTTAGCACCTGACAATTAAAACGTTGTCAGTCTAAAGCAACAGAAATTAAGAGTGTGTGAACCTACGGGTAAAGTCTATTACACTTGATGTATTAACTGTCGGAGTCCGGCTGCTCTGTAATAAATACTCGTCAAGCGGCGGCAAGGAAAAGGCACGCACGGGAAAACTCGAAGAGACAAGTGGGGAACGAACAAGAATGTAAGAGGTTAAGAAAAAGCTCCGTTGAGACGTAACCTGTGGTAGGACGTGTCCCTGAAAGAAATAGCGATTGATAGGGAGATTTAGCATCCGTGAGGAAACAAGGTAATGGGACAAAGAGACATTAAGACGTGCATCTGGGACTGTGGCCGATTGCCGCACCTTGCACAGGACCAGCAGAAACGGTGTCAGAATGTATGGCGCGTTACGCATTCCACATTGCATCGATTTATCAAAAAAAATCAAGATACTTCCACTCACGATACACACGTTGAATTGCATGCATGAAAACCAATCATTTACAGTTGATGTAAATCTCGCAGTGGTGAGATGTTAACTATCTCGCGTAGTATACAGGAGGATGTGGGTTCGATCCCAACCCTGGTGCTTGTATATTTGGAGATTGCATGTTCTCCCCGTGGTTGCATGGATTTTTCTCTGGATCCTTCGGTGTTTCCCTCCGCATTTATAAACTTGCATTTATAATTTCTGGTTGCTATAAATTTGCACGTGGCAATCCACTTCGTTGAGCTATCATTTGTGGGCAGGTTGCTTCTGAAAAAGAGCTGTAGGCCTTACCTGGTAAAATAAAAAGTTTTAGTTTCGTTGACATATATATTTTTTTATACTCAAGCTACATTTAGGATAATGGATTGAACACAAGCGTAAGAAATGGAAACAAGAGGGAAAAAACAAGACAAAAAAGAATATTTCGGCAAATAACCGCATCGCCATCCTAACTTGCGACAATAAATCAAATAATTAAAGCAGGAAGGGGAAGGGAGGTGATGAAGCTTCATTGGATGAAAGCATGCAGTGACGTCGCCCCATGCTGGTGAAACATGGCGCCTTCGTGACGGCCTTGCACTTCAAGTCCGGCGCGACCACCGAACGTGTTAAGCGGATCACTACACGCCGAGTGAAAGCGGAAGGGGAGCGCGCGGTTACCGCTTTTCGCTGGCGTACGGAGCCTTTCCACCAAGCGCCGCCCAGAACTCGGGTGGCTCCTGTCCCTCAAGCACCGTCTGCTTGTCCCTCCGTGTGAGTCCATCCGCCAGGCTCCGCGCCATCTCTCGCTCGTCCCCGCTGCAGCCCTGAGCCCGGACCCCACGGGGGAGAGGCACAGAGCCAGCAGGTTAACGACGACTCGCGGAGCAGCAATGCAGGAACAGACTCGGACGGGTATTGTGGGTTATCTGGCTGAGACGACTGGCAGATGTGATCAGTTGCACCCCCACTGTGTCAGCCAAACACTGCACAAACACAATGACAAAGATTCTCGATATAGTCTTAACACACTGTTGGCGTAAATATACTGTTGGCGAGCACATGTGAAAGTTGGAATCGCACAAGAGGGGGTGGTGGGTGGCCAGCACCATACAACCTGGCCACCCTTTTTCTCCCATGGGGCAATGTTTACACAATCACACCAGGTGCTCATTTTAAGTCTATTCGACCGATGGAAGTTCTCAGTACTGGTTCAGATAATTGGCATTGGCTGCGAGCGGAAATCGAACTTGGATAAACCCGGGTTCGTAGCACAGTGCCGCAACCGCTGCGCTACCGATCCCAACGCACACCGCAAGCTGTACGCACGAGAGTCTCACCTTGCCGCACCACAGGAAGCACGCCACCTCGGCGTTGAGCACAAAGACGTCGTTGGAGTTGAGGGCGGAGGCGCGCGCCGGCACCTCCACGGCCTTGGTGTTGAACTCGTCGGTGCCGCGCACCTGGAAGAGCCGTGTGGTGGGCGGCGCTGCCCCTCCGATGTCGTTGCCGCCGGCCCTGGAGGTGCCGCCCTGCGCCACCAATTTTAGCATGCCCAGTTACCACTTGTCTTTCACGTAGTTGTGAACACACCTAGTCAACGCATACAGCCGTAGCATGCTTAAGGTTTCGTGTCAACTAATGTGTGGCTTGCCAAATGGAATGATCACTGGTGGGGTCAGCTCGAGTTGAAAGACCAGGTGAGTAGAGAGACCGGGTGGGGTACCTCGTAGATGATGAGCTTGCCGTGGAAAATGGCGAGGAAGTGCTTGGGCTCCTTCCCCATGACGACGCGCACCTGCACGGGCTCGCCGCCGTACTTCTGGTCTAGCGCTACCGCCTGGTACGCAGACGCCGCCACCTCGTCCTGGGTGGCGTGACGGCCCTGCCGTTACACGCATGCACACAGACAATGATCCCCCGTGCAGCCTACTGCTGAGGCATGGGGCTGTCGGTGAGCAATCTCTGATGGCCGGCACAGGGCACAAGGGGCCGGTGTGGCCAGCACCACACCCACCCGGCCACCTTTGTTCTCTCTCCATTCTTGACATTTATACATCGCAACTAGTTACTAATCTAAGTCCGAGTCGACAGGAGGGCCCACGACCGGTTCAGATATTAATCACCACTGATGTTAGCCACAGCCGGGAATGTAACCCAGGTTGCCAGTTTTGTAGGGCAGTGCGCAGACCACTGGCATTACCACGAGTACAAACACATACAACAACAACAACCGCTATTCGCCACTAAGTGGCGGTGACATTTCCACGGTGTTTGTACCAGGCTATGTGGCCAGGTGCGATCAGACTTGGGCCGTGTCACCGGAGGTATCCATAGAGAATTGCAAATGTCAGTTAAAATATTTGTGAAGTTATTCACTCCTGGTGGAAATCATACCAAGCCAAGATATAAACACCATGGTCTTAATGCATGTGTGGGTGGAAAGCCAGTGTCTTCCAATAACTGGCGTAAATAGTTAAACTGCTGTTATTGGCTATCGATTTGGCCATTTTGTCAAAGTCATTTCCGACGAACGTAATGGAGCAGCTCTCCCAGGGGTGCAGAAATATTTCATGTACAAGGATGGAAGCAAAGGAAGACATGAATGTAATAATATAGAACACATTAACATTACACAATGGTCAAACTCTTGATTTTGTAAACACGGTGTAATGTTGTCGCTCTCATTTTGTTACCTGCCACATGTAGAGCAGGTAGGCGAGCTTGTTGTTGCTGGTATAGGTGTACAGCACGAGGTAGCAGTCCCCGCCGTAGAACTGTCCGTGTAATCTTTTCTCCACCGGTTTCAACTCCAGATTCTCAATCCGAAACATCTGCGCAGAAGCAGAGGATGCTCAGCCACAGGCTTACAGAGGCATGACCACGTAGGGAAGATCTTTGCCTTTTAATCCTTCAAATGGATAAAAAACACACTCGCAGCTCACGGGCTAATCAAGGCCACAGACGTAAACTGGTATGCTGCACATTTGCAAAGTGTTCCTGTGGCAATGCGCGGTGTTCACCTCTGCAGTGCCTGAACCATCGTCCACCATTCGGTGTTGAGCAGCGACCTCCGGCTTGGCGTGCAGCACTGTGGGGTCAAACTTCACCTGTTCCACTCGAGCTGCCAAGCAACACAGCAACCAACAACTCCATCAGCACCACCTAAGCATGTCAAGAATCATCAATTAAAATCACCGCTTATTCTCATGACTCCATCATCACCCTTGTCGTCTTCATCTTCATCATTTTATTAGTTTGCGTGTGTGCCTCCATTGTGCCACTCGCCGTCAAGTTTAGAGAACAAAAATCCGATGTAAATTTTGTGAAACAGAGGCACAAAATATGCACATCGATCTGTATGGAATGTGCCAAGACACCCTCTCAACAGCTCCCCCCACACAAGCCTTGCCTCCAAATCGTGCTTGTTCTTATAGTTTTGTAAACTTTTTACCATCGTTGACTCCTCCTGAACCCCGCCCGCCCTATCCTCACCCACTTGAAGGTCATTCCACAATTGTGGCAAGAGTAACAGCAGCCAGAATGGGTGCGTTTTTGATCAAATTGGCCGTACTTGAAATGAAAATTGTGGAATGGGCTACTTTTTCCACAAAAATGTACAGCACTCCACCAAAAAATGGCAGGATGGTAGCCAAAATAGCAATGCGAATTGAGCCCCTGGTCTCAATTCGGTTCTCCCTGGTCTCAATTAAACGAAGTGTACTATCCATTCACCATGCCAATGCCAATTCCAACATTTTTTGTGAATGATGGGAAACTCAGACAAAAGGTGCACAAATGCTGGAAACAAATCAGAGTAATATCACGGGTTAAGAGTAATAAAACACGTAAAAAGGCTTTGTGCATTATACACTCAGGATGGCAATTTTATCTGGCATGCAAGGAATGATGGGAAAACCGAGCCTTCAGACACACTTGTGCCCGTTGCGGTTTATAAATCACCTTCTGCGTCTATTAATACTCTTACCTCGTAGCTTTGTTTTAAGCGTGTAATATTATTCCAAGAACACAGCGGCCTCATCTGAACCTAAGCGACGGTCACATCCTAACCACACCGCAACTTTAAAATCCGCTCACGTGTCCCCAGGGCGAGTACCGATTTTGCCGACGGTGTAAGTCTTGCCCATCCCCTGGGTCTGGCCACGCTCCGTCCAGTGCTGGAACAGCTGCTTGAAGATGGCCGACTCGGCACCGTCTGCCACCGTCTCCACGTTGGTGCTCACGGGGTAACCCTTGGCCTTGATGTAGCCCTGCGCGCCACGCAGAAGGACACGGATCTACATCACTGCGCGGAAGCGGCAGGACCAAAGCCAGGGCCCGTATTATCCATTAGGCACAGTACAAACTGTGTCTATGGAATATTAAAAAAAATGTTGACTGTTTTTGTTGTTTGTATGATATCTTCTTATATTTTTAGGCTTACATTTTTTTTTCTCAACAATTAAAAATAAAATCTGCTCATCTGCGGCACACGGAGCACTCCCGTCGAATTAGGGCACAGACTAAATAATGAACGTATCAGTAACGACATCTGTCCAGTGGCTGGACGAAGTACGTGTGAAACAAGCGAGTGACAGCAGTGGTAGTGACATGAGCAGTACCAACTGGAGAAAGTTATCACTGAAGGCCTACGAAACACAAGTGCCTAGGGCCTACAAGAACCTTTACCCAGCCCTGACCTAAGTGTGAGGTGGCAGGGAGTCAGTGGCCAATGCGGTGCTTCTATTGTCATGAGTGCACACAGCGTGGGGTCACAAACCAGCGCTCGCTTCATTGCTGCCTGCCTCTCCTCCTTGCTGGAGCCTCGTCCCTTCCACACGTAGATTTTGATGCCTCCCTGGTCCAGGATGTAGCAGTCCTGAAGAATTGCATTCACACCATTGCATCGTTACAAATTCATAATGCAAACTGGAACGTGCGCGTTTATTTTTCTCGGTTAATGAAGCAGCGTTTAACGAACTACGGCTGAAGATGCAAGACTGCATGTCCATCAACAAGAACTCACGTCGTGGTTCAGCAGGTCTTGGGTCAAAGGTCGCGTTGCCACCTCCTCCACCATCAAGTTTCCACCTTTCTCTGACACACTGTCAATTTAAGGAGCACCATAACATAACCATACATCGCCAACGCACGTAACATAAATTACACTCCATTGGAGACCTCATTTGCCAGTAAAAATATGATAATTGTTTTTTTACCCTTTTATCTGGCAACAAAACTGACACCTTTTTTTACAAGGAGTCATGTTTGCATAGACCACAATACCTGCAATCATAATGCAAACAAAAAACATAACTCTGATAATGTATGCACTGTCCTTGAAGTTGATTGGTCCACACCCGAGACAGCTTTCCTTAAAGCCTAGTCTCACACGGTGTTGGACCAGGCGCCTTTTGGCGTCATGCCAGATAAAAGGGTAAAAAAACAATTATCATAAATTACACTTTGACCACAGCTGCTCATTTGACTCGTGTCGTGCGTCTAATAGCAAGCTGCACACAGACTCAATTCCAAAACCCCATATCCTGTGCTACCCTTTCCTCCCTGTTTCCCTGCACATTTAGCTCACTGGTAGAGCTTGACATTGGCCTTGCGGCTGTGATCCGTCGGCTCATCGGGGCTGCCTGGGGACAGATCGCCATGCCGCTCCCCCAGGGCGGCCGTGAGGACGGCCATGAGCTCAGGTGAGGAGTTCTCATCGTTCCCCTCCACGACGCCGATCTGGGCGCGCCCGCCACGCTCACGGTCACGGATGTCGGACGCCAGCTGCATGCCCTGCACAGAGATGGTGAGGGTTGAAATATCATCACTTTTTTAGCGGTGGCCCAGGAGAGGGCTCAGATCCTCAGCCAGAATCAGTGAGGTCTTGGGTTTTGATCCTGGTTTCAGGAGCAGTATGATAAGACCTGGGGCTTTACAAGTGTGGCGAGTTGAGGGCCTCAGCCCGGTCACCAACGACTGCGCACACACAAAAAAAATAGCGGATAAAATGTGTTTTTTTTTTCTTACTGTGGAGAAATTCCAGCTCAGAGAATTAAAAATATGGGTTTAACAAACATTTCATGGTGGGAAGTGTAAAAGTGCACTCCCTAGTGTGTGGATGAAACAAGTCAACTTGAAGGGATTGTTAGAAGTAACAGTATGGTTGCACTGCTCCGATGAGATTTCCATATGACCATTCTTGTATCCTGTCATAATGTGCCTTTGAAAGGTGATGAGATCATTGTTAATGATGTGTGTGCATAATTTAATTGACCGTTTCAATAAAGAATCTCATAAATATTCTGGCAGGTTACCGGTGTTTCGTCAGCTTGATTAATTAATGCCACAATTGACAAATAACACAATCAATGCAAAGGTCCATCTTCGAAGAGTAGAGATTGTGTTTATCAAATGGCTGCTATGGATGTTTGAATCACTGGAGTTATTATTCAAATGTTTGCCTGGCCCAATAAACTTTACCAAAAAGGAGTACAGTGCACCATCATTAAATATTTTCTTGACAAATCAAATTTAATAACCACTGGCTACGTTAAATAATCAAGCATTCATCTTTTTGCAATCCTAACCCAGACCCCCCAATCTCACCCCAGACACAAACCTTAGTCCAAACATCCAAGTACTTTTTTCTAAGCTCAAACCTCCACTAATGCATGTAAACACGTTAAAGGATACACCACAGAAAGTGAAATGCAGCAAAGGATCCGAATGTAAACCACTGCTCCCTTTTCAAAGGCGAGGGCAATTATTGGGGATGCTCGTCAGTCGCCGTGTCACAGTCGCCGCTCGTGCCATCCCGATGTTTGTGCGGAGCGCCTCACCTTGATCTTCTCCACGCGGTTGCTGTCAGGGCCATTCCACTGGATGATGACCTTGCCCAGGTCGAGCAGGAACACGTCCCCACGGCTGAAGCTGTCCCATGACAGGTTCACCTGCGCAATAGAGATACGGGGATCGGTGATCGCGATAGGGAGCAGGTGTGTGGATGGGACAGGTCTGGGGTGAGGGATAATTACGGGTGGTAACTCATCACCTGAACCAAGGTAGAATAAATGATTACATTGAAACAGTTGGTATTTTGAGTAAACATCATTTACGAATTAACAAAGTCTGGAGGATAAGTCTGGTATTTTACAAGGTAATAAATTAACCATCGATGGGTATATTTATCAGGCACTTAGTTTTACAGCATTGAAATGTTATGCAACTCAACATGTAACTTCGTTTTCACAATTTGTAATTTTCTATCAGATAAATTTTTTATGCAAAATTAACAAAACCAAGATGCAATCTAGCAACAAGGATATCAACACAAGTCTCAACTGACAGATCACAACAGCCATCGCTGTATTTTAACGCTCCAAAACAATAACACTGGGAGCATTTGATTAAATTCTTAAATAGCAAAAAAACATTCCTGACAAAATGCAAAAAAATAAAAACTCCCGAAAAGAACTGTACAAACACCCCAATGCCGGAGCATGGTGCAAAAGAATCCTGAGACTCCGTGAGGCTTTCTTGGATAAATAACAGCATTGTTCTTGTTATTCATGAGCATTCATGCAGCCTTCGCGACGGGCCGGCTGAGTCCTGAGAACGAGCTTCTCACAGAGACCGTTTTGTCAGCCGCTTACAATCACATGGCCACAATGCCTGTGCACTCACCGGTAAGGGACAGCGCCGCTGGCTCTTGGAGTTTGTTTAAAACGCTCTTGTGACAGCGTTGCCTGTTGTGCGTACCGAGGCAGCGAACTGTGCAGTTTGCATAATTCTCAGCAGTGGTTATTTATTTATTTCGCATGCAAGAAGGATACTTTGCAGGCATCAAACTTCAAAAGGATTCGCCAGACAGGTCGGACTTTAATAGAAACTCATGAGTACCATAGGCTGTATAATTTAACTGGTACAACTCTTATCCACAAGCCTATTATCCACGACTCTTGGGTATTCGTACAAGCTGTACGATCCAGGAAGACTTCTATTCGCCATGCCCTGTTATTCATGTTATCTGTGATTAAACATGTTAGTTTTTGGTAGCTCTATCCACAAATTAAACCTGTTATATGTATTTATCCACGGTGTTTCTTTGCAGATAAAAGTAAATTTGCGAATTATATTTTAGGTAATAGGATTTGTGTTCATCCCACGAATTACCACTGATAAGAGTCCTGCTGTGTTAACTTAGACAAGCATTATTTCGACTTTCTGGTTTCTACTTGCTTAGATACTTTTTGCACCATCCTCGCATTCCAACACGTTTCACAATGAGTGATTCATTACACATTCACTTGACCACAGATTACATTGACTGGCAATGCCACGTACTGTATGCTTAATACCCAACAGCTTACTGTGTTGTGAAATGTTACCTGTGCGTTGGAGTAGTGTCAACAACACTTCTGCAATATTGACATTCCCTTTTGGTGAAACACATTAACGGACATTGGACCTCAAATGTCTCATGATTAACCAAGGTACTGGCGCTGTAATTAGCCAAATTATTTGGCGATACTGGCAGTGGTGCACAATCACAACTAACAAAAACCTCACATTCTTCAATAACATTGTGGCTTTAAATGGAAACACATATATAATAGGTGACATTTTGGGCAATGTTTTTCCTTCATAGCACACAGAGGCCAGAGAGAGAAAGCGAGATAGTTGGAGAGTCACTTTACACCACGGGGCCCTGATAAGAATTTCATTTTTAACAAGTTTCCTGATGAACAGTTTTCAAGTGGCACATGTCACTCGATCAGTTGGTTAGTCGGCCAACGGGTCGCGAATCGTGGGTTAAAGTGTGGGCACTTCCATCAAGATGCCTGGCCAGCATTGAAGCGTCAGTCAAATATCCTCTAGCCCAGGGGTCGGGAACCTTTTTGACTGGGAGAGCCATAAAAGCCAAATATTTCAAAATATATTTCATTGAGAGCCATATAGTATTTTTAACGTATAATAAATTAAATGTCTTATTTTTAATGCGACTTCTGGTGCTGCATGGTTTTGCTGATGGCCTTGTAGTCTGGTTCATACGTGGTGAGGTTGAGCTTCATGCAGGCGTGACCCGTGAAATTTATCTTCAAAACTAATTTCTGTTTACTTTAAAATGACACAGTATTATTAAGCAATATCACAAGTATTTTAAAATCAGTTCCAAACTGATTTTTTTATTATTACATTTTTTTCAACTCAAAATTGTCTGGGAGCCATATGCCGTCACTGGAAGAGCCATATATGGCTCGCGAGCCATAGGTTCCCGACCGCTGCTCTAGCAGAAAGCCCTTACATCAGCAGTGACGTGAGCAAGTAATCGCAGGACTGCACCTTTTAACTGAATCTAATCCAGTCGCACCACAACCACCGGCCTGTGCCTGCCTGTGTGTTTTTAAATCATTCATTGCAATGCCAAGCACACAAACAATCCATCCCCACCCCCCAACCCACTCCAATAGAAAGTGGCCGCACATTATAATGCAACGCAACAAAGCGGGAGCCGTCACGTGAGCCAGCGCTAACAGAGATGAATAGAGGCTGTCCACACAGAAAAACGCGCACACACACACAGCTCGAACGAAACGGCACAAACAGCAAGCGTGCAGCCGGCAGCTCACGCCCTGAATCGCCCTGGGAAACGCCCTTGTGCAACAGAGTGGCAGGGACAGATAAAGTTCACAATGGATCAAGGGACCTCATTACATATGTATAGCCTCAAAAAATGGCAGTAATGCGTATTATTCTTTGGGATTAATTTTTTGGGTACATATATACTCGTAGCCTATGACCAAATCGGCCGGAATGTGCCCTATCTCGTCAGATCTCGGAATCTAAGCAGAGCTGATTGGTCGTCAATGGCTGCTGCGAGGACATGTGATGGGTAGCAGAAGGGTAGTCCAACAAAAACCCATTATTATTCTGTACTTGCATGCGACCACTTCAATGCTCCCCCGTCTTCTCCAACACCGCACTGACCAACGCGGTGAAGTATGGTCCAATAACCCCATGACCCTCAAGGTGTCCTTCGTTAAGAAGCGAATTCCAAAAAATACTGTACATGTCCATATACAGTAATCATGAAAGTTGTAGTGTAGGTGAATGTTGAAGACCTCATGTACAGGGTGCCTGAGCCTGTGTTCATCACGAGAGGAATCTTGGCACGCTGCACACTTACCGACACTACCTATTCAAGGGCCAAACCTATCGAGTTCTAAACCTCTTTAACCACATAACAATTCCGAAAACAAAACATTGCACCAAATAAAAGTTTTCACTTTTTTTTAAAAAGCTTTAAAACTCATTATGCGATAACAGGGTTTAAAAATTGTCAGCCTACCGCCTAACTCGGTAGCGTTGGCAAGCGCGCCCCGACCCCCCTGCCTGGTTCGGTATGTGGTGGGGACAGGCGGCATGCTTTGTTGTGCTGGCTGATGCACAGGTGATGCATTCGACATTTGTGCCTCTTCCCCAGAGCCCACACACCTGGCCCCACAGCTGCTACATATGCCTGCCCTGGGCATGGGAGGCGGCAGCTTCTGTGAATGCTTTACAATATCAACAATGCCACTCACTTAACCCGCTAAGATACAAACAGTTACACACTTAACGGAATTGGGTACCAGAAGTGAGGTGGGGAAGCTGTGGCTTCATTTTGGTTGCAACAACAATATTTCCCCCCCCCCCCTCCCTTCTATAAAGTACCTAGAGGTTTCACGAATAAACTCTGCCCAATATAAATTAATTATATTTTTGTGACAACAATGAAAAATACATCGACACAGCTATGCAACAGCATTGCTGTCAAACATTGTTTCTTTTGGGTCTGATCGCGCAGATATAATGCAATTTTTTTTTACTATAACCTTGCACCACCCCGACAGAGATAATGAATTAAAGTTGCCACGTGGGAAAATAGGCCGATTGATTTGGTTGATCAGCAATCCAAAGGAAATGCTAAGAAAATGAACAATTTTGTCCGAAGTTTTGCTCGAGACTACAACCAGCATCATCAGATGATAACCAAGCTCAGCTGTTGCATTGACATTTTCAAACCCATAAGAAACTAATTATGAATCTAAATATTGGTCGTGAAAACCTTGGCGTGAAACTAGCAATGCTGAAGTCGGTGACAGTACAGGGAAATGTCTGGATAGATATCCCACTAAATTAATAGGATAAAATTATGCAAATATATGTTATTTTAAAAGTCTGCAGAGGTTTTTGTCACAAAATCTAAATAAACTTACTAAACATATTAACCTCTCCTGTTGACAAAACCAAAAACCGCAATAGGGAGAAATCAGTGGGGTATTTAAAAATGGATCATTACACGTACAAAATATACAACACCGCCTTGGTTTGCGATAAAACCCAAATAATGAAAATTTAATTGTGCTTGCGTTCACGTGTAGAGGCTTTCGCAACCAATATTACGACTCGTTGCTAGGGTTCCCGGTAAGATCGCAAAGCTGCAACGCCTCGTGTACAACTATACCCACAGTATCACGCAATGTAATCCCAAAAAAAGTATTACGAATTGAATTGTATTTTACGGGCCATTCTCACAGGGTCCTCAATCACAAATGGGACGGTGGCGCTCGTCCAACGATCAAGCAGCCTCAGCGTCTCGTGCTCGCTACGCAGCAGCCTCGTCACGGCACAGCTGCTCTCAACGGCGAGAGCCTGGCGGTCCCTCCGGGCCCTCAGCACTTCCCCATGCGCGTCCAAGTGGCCGCCGGCACCAGTGGCGTCTCCAGGGACGACGGGGAGAGTGCAAGGAGGTGGGACGGGGGGTGGTGCGGGGGGGGAGTCGATGCTCAACCCGTGAAAGCATCAACAGTTTGTGGCCTGGAGCAGCCTGGTAGCCACGGGGGGGGGGGGGGGGCTGGAAGGGGCTGAGCCCCCCTATATCCTTGCTTTGAGGCTGAGACACCCTCTCGTCTGCGGTAGTTATAGGGGGGCTGGACAAAATGCAGATGTTAGTACGATTAGGTGATGGGCCTTGCGGCCTTTCCCCATATACACGGAGGGATGTGAGCCGCAGGCCACGGGAGGAACACCTGATGGACTAGAGCAGGCCGTATCGTCTCGTGCACCCTCCCCCGAGTTTTTGTATGCCCCCCCCGCCCCCCCCACCCAACAAGATGACGCTTCGGGGCCAGCACGACGTGAGAAAGCAACATCAAGAGAGCCCAGGCGAGCACTTTGGGGGTGGGGGGTGTGAGGGTGGTTGTGGATGGGGAGTGTGGCCACTGCGAAACGAGGACTCGTTGGCCCCTTGTCGAGGGTGTGGCCCTCGGAGGTGTAACTTTTTGGCACGTGCCCTTTTGTCAATCCACCGCTGGATGACTGGCCCCCTCCCCCACGGTGTATGGGTTGTGGGGGGTTATTTCACTTCACTTCACCATGGTGAAGTATGGCCAAATAACCCCGTGTCTTGGTCATAGGCAGGCCCAATTTGACTCAATCACCCGTGAAAGAGCAGATCCGTCTAACAAACATGCAAAACTCTCCTGTGCGCAGAAATCCCTTGAAAAATAATATTGAGACTCAGCGAGGCCTTCCTGGATGAACAAAGTACGCGATTATGTTATGCCTATGAGACATTCACCTGGAATGCACCTGATCTCGTCATATCTCAGAAGCTAAGCAAAATTGAGTCTGTCACATGAGTAGCAGGTGTTATGGGCTGTGGAACTACGTTGTAGACATCAGAAGAGAGTGCAGCAAAATCCATTGTTGCACTGTACTCCTATGCTCTCTGCCTTCACAAACCGGTACTGACAAGCGTGACGACGTGCAGTCAAATAATCCCGATGAGGACACCCTCATCCAGCAGAGGATTTACAGAGGGCTGTACGCGTGCATTATTATTATGCTGTTGTTGTCAATGTCACTCTATCCCCATTGCCGAGAAGCTTTACAACCAACCTCGGTTGCCGTGACCGCCTTGCGTCCCTTGATGTGGAGGAGCCGCTGCACGTTGTAGGAGTTCGTCTCCGTGTGGTGGAACCCGGACGCGACGCCGCCTTTCTTGTAGCTGAAATAAAAAGAGGAGTGCGGGGAATTAGGGGGGGGGGGGGGAGCAGCAGGAATGTTTGTGGCAAGGTGGAAAGTGTTTTGGTAATGTATCCCCCAGGCAACAACGTCAATGCAGTATGATTAATCTTCAAGTGCACGCTTTGTGTACCGCGTGTATAGGACTAATTCCCGCTATGACTATTGTGCGTGTGTGACTGCCTTTGGGAGCAGACATACAAAGGATTTAACAAGATGTCTTTTGTAATTATTTTTCATTACTTTCCAGACACCACAAAGCGGGGAGGTTGTAGCGGTGGCGCAGTTGTTCGCGCTCTGAACCCAAACACCCGAGTTCGATTCCCTTCACGAGTTCGTTCCCGGCCAGTGGGGAGTGATATCTCTGAACCAGGTCTGGCCGCATCATCCCCTTCATGAACCGGCACCGACCGGCCTGATGACGTAAAGTTAAACACCTCCCACGAGGCCTATATCCACAAGTGGATTGGCCAGGGATTGCAAATTATGATGATAATGTCATTCAGTTGCAAGAGAATCTGCAGGAGTGCTCCATGTCCCTCAGAATCCCCTTCATGCTCTCCCCGGGCTGTCCCCATTTGTGTAAGAGTCACGCTACATTAATTCCAACACGGCAGCAGGACGAGCTCCAACGACACACAGGACACCAGCTCTGCCTGTGCCCCCGCCGCAACTCCCCGAGTTCCCCCGCCGATGAGCCAGCCCGGTCACTCCCCACAGACCCTGACCTGGCATCACCTCTCAGCGCAACACTGCCCGGGCGCTCGCCAGCATGCGACGACGGGACAACGTGCAGCCGGAACGTGGTGGCTCAAGCCGAGTTGACTTTAACGCAGATCTCTCTGCGTTGTGTCGACGCGTGCAATAATCGGCCACGGGCGTCGATCGTTTTTCCTGCCGTCGGTGCTTGCACTAAATGTGCAAACTACATGTTTCAATCCACATGCAGCCTTATGTCAATCCACTGCTGAACGAGGGCCTCCCAATTTCCACGTGGGTCAAGGGGGGTTATTTGACCATACTTCACCTTGCTGGTCGGAGCAGGTTAAAGGATGTAAGGATAGTCTTGGGGCACATAAGTGTACGGTACAACTATGGAATTTTCCTGCACAGCCCTTTGATGCACAGAAAGATGATTTGAAAGAGCGGTAGTAATTCATCAGCACTAATCAAGCCATTGTATTAAGTTAGAAGGGAGATTACTTTCGGCTTCGTGATTTCTGTTAAGGTGCACAAGTTCTGCAGAAATTATCATGAAGCTGTGGCCATGATGCAGCAATATGGCACAGAAATGTTCATAGACACAGGAACAAAAATCAGTACTGCCCCAACTTTCCTTCAAATACACAAGCGTGCAACAATTCAGACAATGACCCTGAATTGGAGGCTTAAGTGAAAAACTTGCTTGCACTCAAAAACACACACACACAGCCAAACAAATCCAACTGGCTCTTTGTTCCATCTAAAGCATAAAGCTGCTGTAAACTTGCCAATTTGCCAAAAGTGACCGTCGAAGACTCCACTTTCTAATGTGTTTCTGCTCAACCTCCAGACATCCAAGGACAGATCCTCATCGCTATTTGCATACTTGCATTGGCTCGTCCTGTCGTTGGTATTGAACGTCTCGAAAAATCCCAAAGAAAATTAAGCATCCAGCCAACTGGCTTGCTGCCACAACTTGATTGCGGGATTGGTGCAAGGAGGGACACGGGTTGGAGGAAGGGGGGGGGGCAGTGGGTGCGATGGCAGTGGAGAGCCAGGGTATGAGGCGCAGCATGTCCCGTGCTTTGCGGCGTGGAATGCCACAGTTCCCGGAGTGTTTCGGCGCGATGCGAGGCAGTGCTGCTGCACGGTGCCAGTCACGCGAGGGGTTGCGCCAGCAACATAATGACCAATCCTCTCCGATGTGCGTTTCAGGGGGCTGTACAGGGTATTGTTGAGCAAGATCTCCGACGTTTCTGTTCCAGCACATGGAGCGAAACCGTTGGACATCGCAGCGGACAAAACACGATAGAGTCCAAAACACATCGGAGAGCTATGCAACACAACCGTAAAAATACACATAGCACTGTCTAATCCTGTTTACTAAACCCCCTGCGTACAGTGTATGCATGCATGGGGGGTGGGGTCTGGGAGGACATGCCCCAAATGCTGAAAGTGACACGGAAGGAGATCCGGCCTCTACCGCCCACTCGCCTCGCTCTGCGGGACCTCCAAATTGACCATAACAACCACTCACACCGGCAGCACTTTCCCTAATCATGTTCCCGTGTGAATTTCCTGATAAGCCAACTGGGGCAATGCAGGGGACTCTAACGGTCTGTTTTTTTAAAAGCATCTCTTTGGTGTTGATAAAATTTTAAAATGATTCATGTTTCTATAGCGCCTAAACACGATCACATCGTGGACGTGTTTATTTTGCTGAGACAGACAGTCGGTCACACGCGGAAGGCTCTGGAGCCTGGACTTGTATAGGGGACAAGGATTTGACAGCAAGGGTGGCTGGAGAAAAAGAGCTCCAAACTACGGGGGTTGAGATTGAGGCGAATGAGCCATTCCCCACCGGGCACACGAGCTCATTTCATTGATCCATCTCGACGAACGCACTCTTGGAAGAACGTTATGGAGAAGGCAAAGCGTATCTCGTGTAAAATTGTGAATTGTACATCGCCCGACACAATCACGCCGCGGTGCAGTGACCGCGCCGCCGCACTGCGTCGCTCACACGACGCCGCTCTTGAAGTGTCCGCGGAAGACCTCGGACTCGTGTCCCTGGTACTCTCGGTGCTGCACAGGGAATCCACCCAGCGCGTCGTCCAGCTGCGTCGTGTACATGGCGGCAGCGGCCTGCTCGTCCTGCGAGGACTCCTGCCCAACCCAGTAGTGGACGTCGTACGTGGGGGTGGGCGACGATCCTGCCTTCTTGGCCTAGGAGCCAGAGAGAGGTGGGGGGGTGGGGGTGGCGGTTCATAGGTCAGAGGTTTATGGATAAATGCTAAGGTCGAGAGGTCGTCACGGCCAATGCCACCACGTGTCTCTGTTGGTTTATTCCTACCGCTATGATTCTGTCGTCGTAAAGTTGGCAATAGAACATCACGTTGTTTGTCACATTGTTAGTCCAATGCTGCTCCACAGGGTAACATTGCTCCTGCCTGACTAAGTTTTTGAACGCTAAAAGTGACAATAGCAATATTTATTTATATTGTTTCATTAAAATCAGAAAAATATCAGATTCTAAGTACTATTTGGGGAAGAACAAGATTGACGGTTGAAATGCATCGCCTTGACCATTTCCCCAATTGGGTTGTTTCTCCCCCCAAAAGAAATGACAATAAGCAGTGCGAGAACACATGAGCGAAACCTTTTTCAAGGTGGTACTTGCACCTGAGATGCTCAGCCAGTTCCTTGTACGAGTCTTTGTTTACTGCAGTGCCCGGAGAAATATCCACGCACGAGAAGGGATAAAAATCAAGGCTCTAGGCCAGGGGGTCGGCAACCTGCGGCTCCGGATCCGCGTGCAGCGGCTCTTTAAGGAGCTGCTTCGTGACGTTGTTTACAAAGGGACCACCCCATCTCGTATTTACACGCATTGTGGCTCTTGAAATACTGAGCTTTTTAGCGAATTCTAAATAATTTGCCCATCTTGTTATTTCGGTTTGCCGACCCTTGGCTCTAGCCTCACAAAGCCTACCAGGGTGATATTTCACATGGGTTAATGTTCCGAGTTTGCCGAAGGTAGGGCCTTTTGTCTTACGCCATATCACGTCCACCACTGATATTTACGGAACATCAAGTACATGGCACTAAATATTGACTTCATGTCAGATGTGGAAAAGTTGGACTGTAGCAGCGTGAGAGTACGGGGGGTTTGAGAAATCCTGGCTTAGCAACAGGAAAGTGTCTCCACTGGGCCAACTTGATGCGGGGAGGGAATGGGATAGTATAGTAAGGACTGGGACCATCCACAGTGCGAGTGAGATAAGAAACATTAAGTATAGACAGATTGCCAACAGTCCTTACATATTCATGATAAAGGTTTTTTTGGGTTAAATCGCGTTATTTATAAATGTGTCGTAACCCTCCACCATCCGACATGGCCAATCAGTAAAAAATGTGTCACGTTTACAAGAGACAAATAGTTTACTACTTTAGCCCAACGGTGTGTTGAAGAGCGAATCCACAACATTTACAATTTTTGAGTACGCCGTTTTGCTGGTAATTACATTCAGCATCATCTGGCAATTTGCCAGATGATGCTGGATGTAACACAGCAGTGGGTTAAAGTAGTGAACTATTTGTCTTTTGTAAACGTGACACATTTTTTACTGATTGGCCGTGTCAGGTGGTGGAGGGATTACGACACATTTATAAATAACGCGATTCAACCCAAAAAACTTTATTATGAATACTATTTGTCGCGAAAGTACTTGCATAACTTTTTCTGCAAGGATGCATACATAATATATTTATTTACCAGTGCAGACAAAAGTTATAACTGAATATGAAAGTTATACGATACATCGAGCGGAGTGGTGAGGCAGTGGTTAGTGCACTGTGTTACAAACCTAATAACCCGAGTTCAACTCCTGAGCACGGGTAACGTTTGTGGTGGTGGTGGAAAACAACATCCCCCCCCCCGCACCACCTGCCCACTTCACCAACCCACACTGACCAGCACGGAGAAATCTAGTCAAAAACAACCCCAGACACAGCATGGGGAAAGGACTGACAATGAAAAGGGCTGTGCAAGACAATAATTAATTATTTAACACGTGAGATTGTAACATTTGCCGTAGAATATTCCAGCGTGGGGCATTCCACGGTCTAAGCACGCACAAACGATTTGACGTAAACGAACAACGTTAAGGAGATGACGGGAATGCAGCAGCCACAAGCACGAGATGCGTCTCTGAAACAACTCTCCTACGTCTGGTTACATTGTCCCCACTCCAGCCAAGGGGCTGTTTGGGCGTTGCAATTAAAAGCTCACGCATGTGCGCATTGCACGTGCCACGGGGGTCGAGGTTCGGTCAGCTGCAATAATCTCATCGTCAGCAGATGCACGCACACCTACCTTTTTGATCCATTCGATTTAAAAGTTTCCATTACGTTAATTTTTTGTCGCTCAGTGGGGGTCCAAAGGTAGAACCTCAATTTGATGTGTGGGTATGCGAGTCACACGGGAAGGGTGTGCCGCTAACAGGAGTGTACCAGTGCATTGTTCGGTCAACTAATATCGATGGTCGAGTTCACGATACATTCACCACACGTAACGTGTTGATGCGATTCCTCCAGCCACTAGAGGCCGTTACATTCGCCACACGTAACGTGTTGATGCGATTCCTCCAGTCATTAGAGGCCGCTACATTCACCACATGTAACGCGTTGATGCGATTCCTACAGCCATTAGAGGCCGCTACATTCACCACACGTAACGTGTTGATGCGATTCCTCCAGCAATTAGAGGCCGCTACATTCACCAAACGTAACGTGTTGATGCGATTCCTCCAGTCATTAGAGGCCGCTACATTCACCACACGTAACGTGTTGATGCGATTCCTCCAGTCACTAGAGGCCGCTACATTCACCAAACGTAACGTGTTGATGCGATTCCTCCAGTCATTAGAGGCCGCTACATTCACCACACGTAACGTGTTGATGCGATTCCTCCAGTCATTAGAGGCCGCTACATTCACCACACGTAATGTGTTGATTGGATTCTTCCAGTCATTAGAGGCCGCTACATTCACCACACGTAACGTGTTGATGCGATTCCTCCAGCCATTAGATGCCGCTACATTCACTACACGTAACGTGTTGATGCGATTCCTCCAGCCATTAGATGCCGCTACATTCACCACACGTAACGTGTTGATGCGATTCCTCCAGTCATTAGAGGCCGCTACATTCACCACATGTAACGTGTTGATACGATTCCTCAAATCATTAGATGCCGCTACATTCAGCACAATAAAAAAATATATCGATTCTCGACCTTGAATCGTGATAATTTATTAAATAGCGTAGGGGCATAAATCATTATACCTCTAATTATTAGCGTGCCACTCTTTGATAAAGGAATTTTTTGGTTTCCTTCCACGCGCAATATAGATTACTCATTAAAGGATTTGAACGACAATGCGACCTTCCCGGGAGACTTAGTAAAGCTTTCCTCACTAAATGAAGGTTTAACGAAATATTCTCCAATGTCGTATTCGACGGTCATACACCCACCCTGACCAATTAACCGCCCACACCCAGTGCGGTATTTTGTGCACGGTGCAACGGCCTTCTACAGATGTTTACAATTCCGACCTCGTCACATGCAGCGCCGCATGTCTTAATCCCGCGTACATTCGCTTACTTCTAAATTCCCGTGTTTCAAGCAGTTTGCGCATTTCCTCCTGTTATCTATTTGCGCAGAATGTAAGTCCTATTTCCATTGATGTTCACACACCTGGCCTTTTCACAATTCTCCCTGTAACCTCAGTCCCACCCCCCCCCCCCCCCAAAGTGTGCCAGAATTTTCTGCCACAGAACAAACCGAGAGAATGATGTAGCAGTCACCCTCAAAGAAACTGCCATAGGCCTTCTGGGGCACGGCAGCAAGCTCCATTTTCTGCAGAGAGAGCCAGGACATGGCACCAGTCACAGGGAGGTCACATTTACATCCATATAAGGTTACAGTAGCATTTTACGGAGCCAGTGGTTTAGTGCCAGCACAGGCACTCAAACTTTCGCGGGAACTCGACAAGAAATAATTTGCTAATCTTGAAAAGGCAACATTTAATTGCCCATCCCTCAAGTAAAACCAAAGTGCAGTGTTAAGCTCAGCAGGCACTTTGATTGAAGGGGGAGGTTGTCCAAAGGTACAATTGATGGTTTTTACAGCAGCCACCAGAAGCTATTTTTAAAATGGACCGTTAAATTAACTCCAGCCACTCAATGCACATGTAGAATTACAGCTGATGTATACTTTTAAGTACACAATAAAATGTATGGCTATATGCCTTCCTTGTGGTATATATTCTTCAATTACTATTTTCACCATAACAACAGCAGAGTTATCTCGCGTGCTATCATCACAAGTGTAAGGGGGGCTCTCCTACGTCCTCACCTCCACTCTCCATATGTGGAGGCCGGCGCTCTTGGGCAGGTTCTTGAAGACCTCAGCGGTTGTCTCAGGCATGATGTCGGTGGTGGAAGCGAAGTTGGTGGCGGTGAAAGGTGTTGGTGGTGTCGGCGTCGGCGATGATCCGGCGAGGCACGGCTGTCGTGGCAGGAGAGAGGCAGAGAGGAGAGATTATCCCCGCGTACGCCTTAACCACATGCCTCCGCTGGGTATAAAGTTCACACCGCTAAATTAATGTTCATTCATGCAGTGCACAGGGCAACGAGAAAGAATGCGCGGTTTAATGTTTAACTCACCGGCACCTTGCTTGATGAAAAAAAAAGGCACGAATAAAAGTTATCAATGAGTTCCCATTAGGAGATAGAGAAGTTTTGTTTTTCATCTGCATGTAACTCTGGTTTTTCACTGGCATGTAGGTTCCACATCGTAGCACGTTGTAATGGGTCTCCCTATAAAATAAAACACTGTGCTGGGCAAATCATTGGAACGTTTCACTTGTCCTTCAAAAGAACTTGACTAAGACTGCATGCATTCAGGGTCCGATTAATGTGTCCCTTTATCTGCTCCAGCTGACCACCAAGGTCAAAGAGACTCCATTAAATGGGTCCTAAAACCTCCCACAGGTGGCTACGGGTGGCTGCGTAATGTGGAAGTTGTTCCTCTATCATAAATTAATGCACCGATAATGGCAATCACACATTCAAAGTCATAATCATCAAACATGGTCAATCCACTGCTGGATGAAGGACTCTCCATGCAATTGCCATCTCTCAGGATCCTGTAAAGTAATAATTTACAAAGCACACAAGCCGATTTCATCACTCCATCTCCTTGTATATTTTTTTCTCGGACACTTTCCATACTTTGGGTAGCCACAAAATCAGCATTCATGACCACCGGCCATTTCCCGTCCTGCCCAAGCACTCAATGACTATTCTTCACAGTTTCGATTATGCCCTTAATCTACGTATGCTCTCTAATCCATGTTCCTCTTTTTGTCTCTAAATGTGATTCTAAGCATGCATCTCTCCACTCGAATGCCATTTGTGGCCATTTATGCAGTAATTTTCACTTTGCCTTCAGTCTTCTCCATGAGGGTAACATTTGAATGCGCAATGCATCACACGTTACAGTGAGGATGCAGTATTTCTCTGCGCCGAGATGATAATCTTTTCTTTGAATTATGGATGATATTGATTGGCGCACAGTTGAAGGCTGAACCAGCCTCTCAATGGAAACACCGATGAACATTCTACAATGCACTATTTCAGTGATCACAAATCACCCCCACATTGTTAAATAACCTGTGATATTGTAGACACGTTTACGGCTCTTGATGAGAAGTGATAAAATACATGGACGCAGAGAGCTGCTGCAGTAGCTCATGTGCTGCACTATGAACCCAGAGACCTGAGTTTGATTCCTGGTCACGGCTAACATCAGTGGCGAGTGATATCTGAACCGGTCCTGCCTCCTCTCTCCACTATCCAAATGGAATGGGAAGGCATTTATACCTCTCTTATAACCATTGCATGTGTAGTGTTGTAAAGGACCACTACACATGCATAGCTTTAAAGTAAAAACAAATATCATGAACGCAGAGTACCGAGCTGACACCGTTGTGAAGCCGAGTTCGAATTCAGGCAACTGCTTGTGATTAAACTGGGTTCTCAAGTGTAGCACATTTAAGTTTGTTATGCACTTAATCTGGTAAAATTAAAGCTCTGAGAATTAAATATATGAGCTTGACTGTCATTGGATGACCATTGTTCTGTAGCAGGGCAAGTGGAAAAAAGTGCTGTCCTCTTGTGTGGTCACGGGCAGGGAATCCAAAAGTAGTTTTTTGATATCTACTTCCACGGGCTATTTTCTAACACAGGAGGGGGGTTGCACAATGCTATGTGAGAGTTCGGAACGGATTCTTCTTCTCTAAATGCTAACAAGAGCACAGTTGGGACAATTTTGAGAAGATACAAAAATATAAGCTTCCATGAAGCTCATCTCATGCACGTTAAATTGTGTGTTGGTTCCTTTCTCACCAGCACTGTTTGATATTTAATTGTCTTCATATTGTGTCCCTTCCTGCCCTTCACCTGAGTCCCCCCCCACCCCCACCCTCCTTTCAATCTATCTTGGCCATTAATGAACAGATTTTCCCCACTCCGCTAGCCGCTGTCCCTTATTAGTGATGAACCAGTGGATGTGAAAGGCGGAAAGATATTCAATTGTTAATTAGTACATAAAAGGCTGAATCGCAACAAAGGGCTCCTTTAGGACATTTCCACGATTCTGAATATGACGGCTGCAAATATATAAATAGCAAATTATTCAGGGCAACAACAGACTGGAACCGACTTGCAATAATGAGAAAATTATTATGGTCTGGGTAGCCTTGGACAAAGGCTGTGATTGAGACGAGGATAAAGTGGTTCGGAAGACGAGGCAGAGATGGTTAAAAGAGCTGGTTTTTAGGATTCAATGGGCATACTCTTGGAAGAGAAAGGCAGCATATTGCAATTGCTGCTTGTAATTCTACATACAGTAGCCAGGAAAGCCTGACCCGCATCTCCAACTTTTTTTAGACGGGGCCTCCTTTAAGTTTTTGGGCATTTTTACTGATCAGAGAGGAGAGGCTGCACGTGTGTAGCAAACCCAAAAAATATTATAATTTGTTCAACGAGATCAGCAACCAGCTTGCCTCTACTTCCCTACATCGGCCATTTTGCAGTCCTGCAGCTTGTGGCACCTGTGTGATCAAAAATCCGTGCATTTTACGGGCTGGGAGGGAATATTCTGTGGTTCGCATGCTGCGATATGACGCCGGCAGATTGAGTTCAATTCCCCCAGTTACGGCGAATTTGCACGGCGAGTTATATCTGATCACCAGTGGTGAAGTATGGTCAAAGAACCAGCATGACGAACACGTCATGGGGAGGCCTTAATTCTGCAGTGAATTGATAAAGGGCTGTAAATTATAATTATTTTATTTAAGAGCTCATAAGGACCCAGCAGTATCTTGTTAAAGGGAGACCTGGTTTAAAATAAGTTTAAAATAAGTACGGCAAAACAGTATACACCGACAAAGAGACCCACAGAGCTCTATAGACTCACATAGAGGCTCATAAGTAACCTCTGTGAAACAGTAATGCCCCGCGGGACTCTAGATTAGGCTCCCACTGTGTTGTGTGTTTATTAGAAAGAGATGAACTCTGAGAAGCAAACAGAGCGTGGCTGGCAGCCAAGCACGAAGGGGGGCACAGGGATTAGGTGTCTTAAGGCACCGCGGGGGGTCACGTCTGCCTCCACTCCTGAGATGTCGACTGGCTGACCGTTAATATTTGTACACATAACAGCCCTTTCGTCAACCTACTGGTGGCTAGTGCAGATTGGTGTTGGTTGGGATGAATGGACGCGGAGCATAGAATCGCAGTAGAGTACAACAATGGCTTTTACTGTACCGTCCTCTGCCGACCACGATGTAGCGGTCCCACAGCCCCCTGTGACAACCTGTTGTAGATGTCATTACCTGAGAGCTATCCAGCGAGGTCTCACAAAGTGGGCTAAGAGTAAACCCTCGGGAGAGGGCCGCAATGAAGAGCATTCCGTCACAATCGTTTTGGTGCGATCTCCACAACACATTCACGTGGCACTATTCATTGAGCCAGGTAGATAGGATTATTATTTTCATAGAAATTTTAAAATTATTATAAAAAAACACCTTTTTACAAGTATTTTCGACAAATGTTATTCCGGCTGTATGATCGGTGTCAAGCGACAAAGGAATCCATTCCGATTTCTAAATCTTTGCGTAAAAAATCCCGATCTAGTAACCTCTGGTCTACATGGCAGAGGGCAGTGCTTTCCCACTCGCTCTGCCATCGACAGTACTGTTCACCACACGACAGGCAAACCGAGATTTCTCATTATCAGGCGTGTAATTTAGGTAAATTAACTGCAGAACTAACATTAATGTGATACTTGTTTTGTGTGTACAATGGTAACCACACTGAGATAATCGGCTTGCTACATTTAAGAACCCCGTTTTAATCACAAGGCGATTGCCTGGATTCAAAACCCAGAATTCTCAGGGGGTTCCAGTTCCTTGCTCTGACCTGAGCCACATCGGCAACATGGGGTGGGAATGATTCTTTAGGTTTTTTTGTTGTTGTTGCAAGTAGCCATGGAGGCCCATACCGAGTAACCATGGGGACACGTGAAGGTTATTAAAGGAGGCAGCAGCACAGCAGGTGGCTTCTCCTGCCCTGAATGTCCCCACGCCTGTTTAATAGACAATCACATCCACAATTTAATAAGACACTGTGGCTAAATGCTTGCTTCAGAATTTAATTACAAACACTTACTGTTTTAATTTCTATTGAATATTCATGTTAAAAAAACAAACGTGTATGATAATTCAAGGGGATACTTTTTATAATCTATCTGCTGATGGGGATCATAGATTGACATTTTCTCGTGTCCGTTCTTTAGACATGGCCATGCCTTACACGAATCTTCAGCAATGCGTGGCCTGTTCAAACAATGAGTTGCTATGCAACCTTGATGCTATGGGTGTGAGTCATCCACAAAGGTTAAGGGTAAATTACATCACGAATTAAGAATTTTCATCAGTGTGGGGTTTACCAAAATAAATTAGGCATTACAGTTCCATCTTACCGAGTGAATTAGCTAGATTAACTTTTTATCCAATCATAGCTATACGAAGGCTAGATGGTTCCTTTTAATGAGAGATGTAGACTTATACAAGTACACGGAAACAGCAGCTCACACAGGCTTGTGCCGATACTCAGAAATGCACGGATATACATGAACACCCAGCGACTTACAAAGAGACCCACAGATTAGCAGACCCATAAGCCCACAAAAATCCGAAGACGTAAATTAACCTACCAAAGAGTCCCTTTGACATACAGTATATATTTCACCTTCACCTGCCAACAGCCAAGAGAGCCCATTGCGACCAGGATTCCAAAAGGCAGAATTGAGATTCAATTAATGGTGCCACGTTAAACCAGCGAGGATTGTTACGCTTTGACATGCGTCTCAAGCCACTTTGTTACATCCTCGGGTGTTTTATAGAAAACATTGACAGACGACGACACACGCAGTTACATGAAACGTGTGCCAGACGCTGCTGGGAAAAAAAACCCCACGGCCTCATCTAATCAACCCGGTAAATAACATGGAAGCCACTCACAATTGCCATCTCTCACAAGGTCACGTCAAAGCGGTAATTGACCAACCACGCAAAAGCTTCCCACAATCAGGGCTAAATACGAGAGCGCCCTTGCAATGTGCAACAAGGCAGGTGACGCCGGTAGATTTGGCACGGTGATGGTATTACGAAAGCAACGCATGCTAATTTGACACGGGGGCTGAAAATGTGCTCGTCCGCGCATCTCACCGACCTCCTCGTGCGAGAAACATTCCACTGCTGCGGATTTCAACCCCACAACTCCACGTTCGGACTACTACGTCCAATCCGGGGGGGTTCTGTGACCCGATTGATCGCGTGCCTCTGACCCTACACGGGCAGCAGCAGCAGCAGCAACACGTTTACTGCCGACGGTGCAGTGTCAAATATTGCGTCGTCATGTGAACCAATTCTCGATTTCCTATCGCCGTAAAGCCTCATTATTGCTTTACCTGTGCGCACCGCCCGGCAGTTGTGAGCCTTAACGAGATGGGCGGGTGTCGGTAAAGCGGCTGTTTTAGATTCAAAGCGTCGCCGACTCACCGGCCTGGCTCGTACGGAGCAGCAACTGGAGGGTCAGGAGACCAGCGAAGGCAGCAGATGGTGCGTTTGCAAGAAATATATATATATACAACCCACAAAAACAAACACGACAAGAAAGGACAACACCTCCCCGTCTGCCCACGAGAGAACGACGACACGCGCTTAGGAAGAAGACGCGGCTGCCACCTCCTCTGCCTCCACTACCAACCTCCCAGTGTCGCACGCGGTCTCCACACAAATCCGCTGCGCGCTTAGCAACCAGTCATCCGCATTGATCCAGGCTGCACTTAGCGGCAGAGGACCTCTCTCAGAGCCCGCCCCCCTCGTGGCTCACTCACGGGACGTGCCTGCCCCCCCTCTCGTTTTTTATTCCCACGAACACAACCACCACCACCACCACCATTCTTCTTCTTCCACTCTCTCTCTCTAGCTCCCCGCCCGCTCTGCTACAGTGGTCGGCGATGTTTGCGAGCACCTATTTCGAGCCACACAACAACAACGACGCCACTCAGTGACGTCACCCCAGCGCCTGTGCCAGGCTAGGTGCACTTTAAGGCTATCGACCGTGAAGAAGCGTCGAGGGCTGGCTGGAAAGCTGGTCACGAAACAGACCCAGGTGGCTATGGGCTCAACGCCGAGCGGATGTTGCCACCTGTGTTGGCACAGATTAAGGCAGGCAGATGCACAGTTGCGTTCATTGTGTGAGCGACATCACAGCCACGCCTTTGCAGGTAGGTTACTCATTTAAGGCGGAGATGACCCAGGAGAGGCCAAGTACAGATTACAAATGAGTCGTGGGCGACACGACAATGTTCGTGTATTGCGCCACCGCTCCCCACTCCGTAGAGCACACACGAGCGTACAAAGACAAAGATCCCCCGTATAGCCTCAACACTTTTTCTGGCAAGTGCTGTTAGCGAGCACCTATGAACGCCAGCACGGCACGCAAGCGAGCGAGTGGGTGGGTGGCCAGCGCCACGCCCGGCCGTCTTTGTTTCCCCGGCGGCGATGATTTACACACCGCACCAGGTACTCATTTGAGGCCGAGTCGACCTAGGCGACGCCCAGGACCCGAACACCAGGACCTTCTCGTTAACACGCGCACACAAACACACACGCGGGTTGCCGTAAAGCCGACAACGCAATCCCCCACCACCCAACACACACGCGACGCGGCAATGCGCGCATTTGTGGTCTTGAACATTTCACGCAATAATGTCCGAGAAAAGCCCTCGGGTGCGCAAACAGAAAAAAAAACCATTCCCCACTTTACAAAACACACGCGCACACACACAAACACTCACACACACACAAACACTCACACAAACACTCACTCACACTCACACACACAAACACTCACACACACAAACACTCACACACAAACACACTCTCTGCTTCTCTTACCGCAGGCGCGTCCAAGCGAGGCGGCAGGCACAACGACGCTCACGATCCACGCTTGTGGTCCCCCAGACGTGCGCGTCTCGGATGATTTGACCGGCAGTTTGACGGCACGAAACGCGGCACGCGGAGGAGCTACGCGTGTCCTCCCGACCACCACTGCACGGCACAGACGATTTACCGCGGGTGGCCTCTCCTACGTTCAAGCCGTTCCACCGGGGATAAATATCAAGCAAGAGGCGACTGTCGATTTTTCAAGCGGGGAAGGACTGGCGAGGGAGCGCAACGTTGACGCGCAAACCCCGAGAAACTCTGGCGCAGTTCTGTGAGAAGGAGGAGGAGGGTGGCTCATGCAGCTACAGGGGCTGCTGCTGTTGCTGATGATGCTGCTGCTGATGATGATGCTGGCTGCTGCTGGACCCCGACGCGCAGTCGCGTCTCCGCCCCTCCTGCCCAGCCACTGCGTGGATTTGCTGCTCGCTGGCGTAATCTCTCTGGGGACTGGGTTTGGTGGGGGGGTGCAAGGTGGAGGAGAGGGGTGGTGGTGGTGGTGGGGGGCGTGTCCGATACCTCTCACTCACTCTACCCCCTACTTCACTATTTTTTTTTGTAACCACGTTGTTTGAGAATTGGGGTTGGATTAATATTCTCTCATCGGCCTGGCGCTCTGCTAACCTCGTTGTTGGCGATTTAGATTTTGGTCGAAAAATGGGACATTGCGACAAGACGGCAATTATTTCCTCCCCTCGCAGGTGGTTGCAGGACCCCCCCCCCCTTCCCACCCACGGTGTGCACGCTCCATACATCATCTGGGAGCGTCCACAGAGTTCACAGTCCGCAAAGAAACATTGGCAAACGCTTGCTCGGGATGACAGGAAGAGGAACACTTGGAGCACTGAAAACACACGTTTTAGACATCATTGACTGTGAAGTGGATTTGGGAATGATGGCCGGGTGGACGAGACTGTTGACGGAGTGGCAGCCGAAGGATTGAACGACCATCGGGGAGATGGAGCAGTGAGACCCGGCTTGTGTGCAGGATTGAGATGGATATTGTGGCGACGGCACGGAGAGGCCTTCAACCAGCAGTGGATAAGCTCATGAGTACATCCGATTAGCACGGTTGGCTACTGACGGTGCGAAAGAAGTTCTACATACATGTCGCAAGAGGGTTGCGTTTATTAACTCGAGTACACTTTTACACGACAAATTAAACTCCAATGAGAAAATTGTCAGATGCGTGTAGCAGCGTCCCTGTGTTTATTTGACACCTATTTCAGAACATTCGCGAACGTGAACAAATGGGCTACAGTGGTGAGACGTGAAGGCGGAAAGTTGAGAATGGCTGGACTTTAAACCCCATCCCAGATCCCGACAACGTCATAAAGTAGGTTACGTACGCGTCACACGCGGTCCCCCCATTGACCCTTGTCACGACGGAGGCTTGTGGATGCCTTCATCCAGCAGCGGACAGTGACGCCGGTTGAAGAGACTCCACAGAAGTGAGAGAGCGGAGCAAGGTAAACGTGGCTGCTGATGCAAATAGGGTGGATACGTGTGGCCCTGAAGATCAAAACCTTAATTTACCTTTCCGAGCGCTCTCCATCGCGATGCAACCGGTTGAATGTATATTTATATTCCTTTTGTCAATCCACTCAAGGATGAGGGCCTTCCCCTCCCACGCTGTGTCATTCATGTGGGTCTTATGGCCCCAATTTACCACGCTGGTCAGTACAGGTTCAAGGCGGGGAGCGATAACGTGGAAGCATAGAGGTACAGAATGCGTTGAATAGACTTAGAACATACAGCCCACGCGATTCTGATACCATCATCATCATCACCACGATCCATGGGTAGATAGCCCGTCGGTGTCTACTGCACATTTCGTAATTTGTAAAATGTTGATAACACAAACGTGAATTAAGGTAAACAATCACATCTGCGTGTTGGGTGAACGCTGGAGACGATTTCGCCTTGCACACCAAAGCACAGGATTGACAAATGTGCTTCGCAGCTGTCTCGCTGGTGGCGTTCATTCACAGCACTGGACTGGAGACTATCAATGTCGGCCAATTGCTGCCTTTGATGTTGAATCAAAGGCCCTGATCAAGGTCCGCATTGTGAATAATGGTGGGATTGTTTGAAAATGTTACCCAACGAGATCGGCAGCTTGGAATACAATTAGATCTGTCTTTTGTATTAGAAGAATCAAACCATCTGGCATTCGAATGTGAGCCCCCAACACACTCATTACGAACCAATTCAGCAACATTTAATTTGACTCTTTGTGAGCATTTATAGACCCCACGGTACATATCAAAATGAACAATGACTGCATTTGCGCAGGTGTGGGTTGCGGAATGTGGGACGTGGATACGGGGGGGCGAATGCATCGAGCATTCGGGGCAATCCAGTGCGGCAGCCTCCTCCCAATTACCCTCCCTCCCCCGTGTGACACAAGGGACCATCATCACACGGCTATTACAACCAGATGGGTTGCAGGGTTAATATCGCGTTACATTAGCCTCGTCACGTCACCATTGCATTAGCCTCGTGGGCAGAGGCGGCGGCCGCATTACATGAGGATGCTCACTTTGCAATGCGTAAAACATCGTGGCCACGCTGTTAAGATGGAGGATGACTGCTCTTGAGAAATGGTTTGCTTGGAATAAGCAGAGATTGAGCGGCGAGAAGTGATGCAGCTTACACAGTAGTATGCAGATGACGTGTATCGTCTATGGGGAAGTGGCCCTGACAATGCCCTAAATTTGTCTCTGGTTGAAAGACTGGAGGTGCAGATTCATATACATCGTGTATTGGTGTCTTAACATTTCCCGTACCTCCGATTATCACAGTCGGCTACGTACGGTGCGAAAGAAACTCAACATGCATACATACATACATACCAAGGCCGTAGCCATGGAGTCAACATTGGGGGGGACCAAATCTTCCAGGGGGTCTTGGGTTCCCCCCCACCAGAAAAAAAAATCTAAATTTGAAAACTAATTTCCTGCCATTTCCTGCTTAAAACATTAAAAAAATTCACTAACACATGGGATGGAATTTTTATTTATTTTTTACAATAATGTCTAATAGTGTATTGTATTACATTGCTGTTACTTTCTTTTTTACCTTTTCTTGTTTCATTGTATGTAATGGCAGAGATTAGGGATTCATAAAGTACAGCCATAACCACAATCATCTAAACATAAATCTATGCATTGTTATATGAAGACAAGTCCAGATATTGTGGCCAAGGTTTAGCAAATTGTTGTTTTTATTTACATAGCATCGCAATGTTTTTTATAATACTTTTATAGCAATATATTGGGAGGGACATTTTGAGTATATATTATCTGCTCCTTGTGTCCCCCGCAATATATATTATAATTACGACCTTGATACATACTCTGAGCTAATGAAAATAACTTGCCTGGAAATGCAGTGACAATTAGCAATACAATAGTTGGCTTATGGAGCCAGACAGTGATAAATATATAAATGAGTTTAAATAAATGAATAAGTTGACTTTGCCCTTGTGCAAACAGCCCTCCCATGGAATTTCACTAGCCTGCGAAAATATTTTGAATGTGTCATTTAATTTCGCGTTTTTTCACATGCAGTATTTCATCAGCCTGATAAAGCAATGTAACACAAAAGTTGTGTTTTGATCCAGCAGTTGCATGAGAATGGGTGACGATGATTCAGCTGAACTGTCCTGATGTCACAAAGGCAAAGTTCTATTCTACACTATATTATCTGCTCCTTGTACACACACACACTCACGTGAGATAAGATGTAAAAAGAGCGTGGGTTAAAGTTACTCTACCAGTCAATACCGACGAAACTGAAGCATTTACTGTACTCTGAGACACATTTTTCACAGCTATGCTTGTGTCATTGCGCACAACATCAGACACACCGTGTCGATCACGGGGGGTTGTTTGACCATACTTCACCACTCTGGTCAATCTGAAACATTTACTTAAAACTATCGTTTTCTATTCTATTTACAACTACAGTATGCCAGTATGGATGCAGCACTCGGCACCAACCACTTTATCATCTATGGTGGAGAATTCAGCCGCAATACAACAGCGAGTCAGCCTCTTGAGCAGAGCAGGGTCTGCCGTGAATATTCAATCAGTTCCCAGAAAGAGGCCGCGGGGGGGGGGGTTGCCGATCGTCGCTGTGTGCTCGTGACGCACACGGCCACGCAGCCGCACGCGTGCATCTCACAACACGGACACGTCCTGTACACACAGAGTGTGAGTGCAGCATCACAGCGGCGCCACGCAGTGTGTATGTGGATGCCCCAACTGTGCTAATCCGAGGTTTGGGGGAGGCAACGGCAAACTAAAACACAAAAAGCACACGTGTCATGTTTAAGGCAACACTTTGTGATTGGGTTATGTTTAAAATGAAGAACGTAAATGGTATTTTGTTCTATTTATTTCATCCCAGATGTCTCTTGGAAACAACAACTTGAGTCACCAGATCACCGCGACCACCGCAGGCCCTCTCCGCCTGCCCTCCTGACAGGTAGCCCTCCTGTCCATCATGGGCCATCTGATTAGTTCGGGCGCAATCTCAGCTGGTTTGACCAAATGCTTGTCAAAAGTCAATCCCGACGTTACACACATTGCATTCCCATGGCATACGAGATACGTGCACGAGACGCAGCCGTCGAAACGCACGCGGCCTATGCGCACACTGATCAGCGGGCGGGCGGACAGACGGACAATATCTTCTGCATCTCGTGCCCTGACGCAACCCCGTCCGCGAAGGCTCCATTAAATCAGGGAGTGGGTGGCATTCCAGACATCGGTGACAGGCGGCGATGGAATTCCAATGAGTGCAAGTGTATTTATTACATTATGGCCTGCATGCAAATGTGTCAGGATGCCAACCCACTTAACCTTTAACCTTCCGCGAGTTTGTAGCGGGCGACATTTTACATCCAATTTCATGCAATTGAGGGCGAGTGCCATGCGTAATCCCAAACGGGTTCTATACATTTGGCTTTTATTTTAAACGATAGTCTTTTTAGGGGAAAAAAGCTGTACTAAATTTGCATGCCACTAAATATGAATATACTGCCCTCTGCCCATTTATTTAGAAGTGGCACTGCCTGTGATGCAAATGTGCACATGTGTACATCTCAAACCCAACGATGAATTTTAATTAAGTGAGCACGAGTGTCGAAGAAAAATGTAAACCATACCCACGTAAACTGACAGGTCACTCACCCACTGCCAAACATACTGTATGTAAGCAGCTCACGTTGACCCGACATGATTTTTTTTTTACAATTATTCAATGTTATGCATGTTTACACTAAGCGCCAGATATACGAGTTTATTCGACATTCTTTACAAGCACAAGGAAAACTAAATTAAATATCGGAGATGGCGAAGCAAGCTGGCATCACTTGACATTTTTCGCACAAAGCCTTTTATTTTATTTATAGC